AAGCTTCAGCTCAGATCTCTCTGCCAAGGCCCAGATCTTACTCAGTTGCTGTCTGGACCTTGGGGAGGTCAAGAAGCGCCTTGTCTTCGTGGAGCATCATCTGGAAGAATCTGCTACCTGGGGCCGTCTGAACGGAGCGCTCTTTTGTGAACGCCAGGTTAAACTTTCATTGCTGCACTTTTTTCTCGTGGCAGTTTTCAACAAAACGGTTGTTGACTTCCACTACGACGTGTGTGGCAAGTGGTTGAGGAAACGGCGAATCGCACACATCTACACACTCTCTGTATTGCCACAGCAACAGAACTTTTTTAAAGCGATGTCGGGGGCAATAGGCTTACAGTCCTTGGCCTCAAGAGCGAGCCTATCTGGAGCTGTCCTGGGAGACTCTGGGAGGAACTGCAGCTGTGGAGCAGAAGCGAGCGGTCAGACCCCAAGTTTTAGTGCAGTTCACTATGGGGGTTCTAGGCATCGCATGGATAAGGTATGTTCATGCCCTATCAAAAGAGATATTTGATTCTGATTGCAGAACAACATTGCCGGTGGTCAGGGCTAGCAGCATTCAAACAAGAAGTGAAGTAAAGTCCTTCCAAATGCTTCCCAAAGATGGTTTGCATGAAACGCAGTCGAACCAGGTTCAGTAGCATCGCTGGGGTGGTTCTCAAGCTGCGTGGATTGTCGCCTTTGGAGAGACACCCTTCCGCAATCTGTCCCACTATGTGCCGGAAGTCGAAGTGGCAGGGCTGCATGAGGGACCAGCGGTTCGGAATTCTTACTTAGGGTTCTACTCCTCAAGGTCGCTCAAAAGCTGAAATTTTTTTCACAATCGTCGGGACTGATTGCAGGCGCAGGGGTTCAAAATTTCAAGGCACCCAACACCGTCGATTGGTGCCCGGATGAGCAGTTTCGCAGGCACGAGGATGCGGAGCCCAGGAGTCGCATCTGTTAGAAAAGGCATCAGGGGAGCCGCTCAACAAGGTGGGTCTCTGTTGATGCCAGGATTCGTTGGAGATTTCTTAATGCCAGGGTTGTTGAAAGTTCTTTGTCATAGATCATGATCCTGCAGTGTTGGGGCATTGCAGCCCTCTCCTTGGTGGGTGGAAAATGCTTGCTAGAAAGACTGCGGGAAGCTCCCACATTTTCTCTCACCCCGGACAGCGGTTATTCAAATTTTGCCTGAGTTTGAAAGATCGGGCCATTTCTGCAGACTTGCTTAGACTTGAGAATCTGACACTGCTATCTTAATCGCTGCATGCTTTGGAAACCTCAACAGGAACTTAGTTTAGTTTCACCTTTCTTGCTTGCGTCAGACGGTCTCTGGCAACCATCCTGGCATATGCTTGGTGCAGGTAGGGCTCAGGTTGTCATGGATGTCGAAGGTGTCCCGCTGACCGAAGAAAATGTGGAGAAAGTAATGGACGAGATTCGGCCGTATCTCATGGCCGATGGAGGGAACGTTGAGCTAGTGGAGATCGACGGGTTGACCGTAAGGCTGCGGCTTCAGGGGGCTTGCGGCTCCTGCCCCAGTTCCACCATGACCATGAAGATGGGGATTGAGCGGCGGCTCATGGAGAAGATTCCGGAAATCCAGGCGGTGGAGCAAGTTTTGGACGAGGAAACGGGGCTGCCGCTGACGGACGAGAACGTGGAGAATGTGAGGGTGACAGCGTGCCTACTTTGTGGCAGATTGTACCGTTTGAGCAGGCCTTGTCATCAGGCAGCATCAACAAGCCTGCGGATCGTGAGACCCATCTTTTGGCAAGGGGGCTTTGCAGAAAAAGGCTGCGGATTGTGAGACCCATCTTTTGGCAAGGGGGCTTTGCAGAAAGTTCCGTTTTCAAGACTGTTTTTTTTTATTGCCCTCCACGGCCCTGAGTCTGGCGGGAGCGATTGAAACGTTCTTCCGGTCTTATGCTCAGCACCCCCCCTGTTGCAATGCGACTTACTATCCTTTCTTGATGTTCTACTTTGAAGCTGTTGTAAAAGCTGGTGTATCCTGGTGTGCAGGTCTTGTCCGAGATTCGGCCTTATCTGGTGGGGACGGGTGGCGGCGAGCTGACCCTTGTTAAGATTGACGGGCCTGTTGTGAAAGTTCAAATTGATGGGCCCGCAGCGAATGTGATGACCGTAAGGGTGGCGGTTACGCAGAAGCTTAGGGAAAAGATTCCAGGAATTGCCGCCGTACAGTTGCTGTAATTGGTTGTAGCCTGTTCCAGGTGCTTTGGAGCTACGTCTATGCAAGCTCTTTGCTATTTGTTTTGAGGCGGTCATGCTTCTTTTGATATTCTTTGTTAGGAGTTAGATAAGCTGCGGCATCAGAATCGTATAAGAGCGGAGGCTCGAAGACGGTTGTCTACCTGTACCGTTCAGACAACCGGCTTAGATATAGTCGGGTATCACCATCAAGTTGGTGCATTATATCTTTGTTTTCCGGATCCGATTCCATAAACACTCCTCAACTTTTCTATCACATGAGCAGACCCGACCAAAAATGTTCCATAACAACATTTGGTCACACATGCCATGCAACATGCGCAGGCGTTGTGCCAAGTAGTTTGCCACATGCTTTGGCGGCAAATGACTCAATTGGCTGGATGTCATCGAATAATTGGGACATGCATGCAAATAGGGCCAGACAGTATGGTACAGTCACTGACACTGCAGCTGGGCTGGACAGGACATTTGTAAGCGATCAATATCTGAATTTTTGATTTGTAGACCAATGCAAGGCTTCTAGGCTGCCGCGATCTCTACGAGGTATTCAGCAGCCATGCACGTCGAGAGCTTGCTGGGGCCGCGCCCGGACCGGCGCGGCATGCTGCATGCCGGGTGTGACTGCAGCCATGCATCAGTCACGGTGCACCGTCCATGTATATACTCAGCTTCACAATGCACTCAAAGATCATCAGACTCCATAGTGCATTTGACAATCATGATGACCGGCATACGGTAGTTGCAGAAAGCTCAACATTAAGCACAAGATTAGTATGCGGTCATTGCATTCTCATTTTCAACACTGAAGGTTCAATGCAACGATTTGATTCGAGCGGACCGGACCGACGGTCATTGCATGTGCATGGTCATTGGTCTGATCGAGGCCTTGATTGCACATCTCCGAAGTCGACGTATATCATGTACCTAAAGCCAAATGATGTATCCTCAAGCACGCGCATGGATGGAGTGATGACAGTCCAGCGGTCATGAGACCTCGGAAAGATTGGAAAACCCAAAGGAATGATTCCAAAATTTTAAACGACGAAGCTTGCGGTCAGAAAAAGCTGATGGCGTGCGCCCCCTCGAACAGGTCAGCCTTTAGATTTCTGTTTCGCTTGCTCAATGAGGGGTTGAAGCTGCTTCTTTTCTGCCAGGATCTTCAAGAAGTTGAACAGGAAAGGGATGTAGTTGTGCTTTCGTCGAATGTTCTCTATCCTCCAGTTCTGGAACTTCTCGTCTTCAGCCGCTATCCGAAGCCTCAAGTCGTCCATCTGGTGCTGGAGGTCAGCAGCCGCTGCTTGCAACTCTGCCTCGCCTGGACAAGGAGGACGAACAAATCTCAATCCGTGGATCTCAATCATACAGATTCTTGAAGCTTCATAGGATCGGGGTCGTACAGAACGGAACGAACAGATTTAAACTCTGCCGAAGCTGCCACAGATGGCTCGTTGGAAACAACTGTTTATCCACAACCAGCAGACTTAGACAAAATCTCCTCTCGACCCAATCAGTGGCTGACTCGCAATCCTCCGCACCTGCTGCGATTCAAGGCCGACTATCTTGGTAAAATCTGATACCTATGTCCGAGACCTGCCTCCACTTATTGGTCCAGGAAACAAGATAGTTTTGCTCCCTGACCTCGAGGAGCTCAGCGAAGGGTATCCAAGCACGCCACTAGATTGCTAAGCATTTTGGGTTTGTGAGTGGTTGCAGTACAGTGCCGGTCCCCAAAGCACAATCTTCAGCCGCTCAACTGGGCACCGATGTACTGACTTTCTCATGTTTGAGGGGCCGATCTGCCAAGAAATCAAAAATAGAAGGTATTCGAAAGCTGGCCTAGCCTCACCTCTCATACCGTCCGCCCCGCTTCGCACCCCAGCAAGTTCCGCTTCAACCATCTGCTGCTTCTCTTCCGCCTTTGCCAGCTGCTCAGAGTACATTTGTTTCCTATTCCGGATAACCGCCAAAAGATTGAACCGAATTTCGCTCTTCGAGTACTTCTCAATCCGCTCCTGGATCACGGGCTGAACCAGACGGAGCCAATCTGACTCGCTTGTCCCACAGGGCCCCAGGCTAATCGGCCCCTTCTGTAATCCGTCCAATTCGTAGAGCACCCCCCCAACCGGCAGATAACTGATGAAGTGGTACACGTCATCGTCCTCCTTGGCAGACTTGACATCATCGCTCACAAATGGCTGCGGCCGCGCAAAGCTGTTGTGAGCTGTCCGTATCGACTCGCTGTTATTGATGGCGAGGCCCTTCAGCTCCGGAGGGAAGCCCCCGGTGAACTCCCGGAGGTTGGAAAGCTCAGGACCGACATCGAGCTCCGGACGATTGAGAAGCACAGCCAGGATTGCCTGAGTTGCACATGCGTTGTTGATAACCTGCAATTGTGCCAGGGAATCCTCAGACTTGAATGAATTTCTAGTCATAATGTCATTTGGAAATCAGTACCTGAAAAACTTGCCTGGTCATCAACAACACAAGCGGTTGCTCTGATTACAGGTTCCATTGGAAGTTGCAGACCACTGACGCCCTCGCTCAACTCCCCCTTCTCATGAAATGTCAAGGCATGTCTCCCGCATCGACGCAGTCTGCAGACTGTGACAAAGGAAGCAGGAGTTGAAACTTCACCTGGCTTGCGAAGAAGAGATTGCTGTCATATTCCTGAAGAACAGGCCTGGTATCCTTTTCGCCTGGTCGCCACTTGAACAGGAATATGAGTCCAAAAACAGGTCTTAGCTGCTCGAGCGACTCAACGTCCAAGGAATACAGCTCCTCAACCTGCAGGACATGAGAGTATTTTGAGGAAGTTTGAGAGACAACCCGACTGAAAATGAAAATTCTCAAACAGAAGGGACACATCGTACGCTCTTTGAGGTGCTTAAGCAATGACAATCGAGGCCAGCCAAGGGCAATCTTCAGGCAACCCTGCAGGTTAACATTTAGATGCACACCAGCCATATCACGCTGAAGATTGTCTCTGAAGGCAGCTACAATAAGCTTTCAACATGGCACGAAAGCTCCTTGAAGCGGAGGTCTTGAGCAGACACCTTAGTCAAGCCAGCTGTACACACAAACAAGTCCAATGTCACAAGAACAGACTTGTACAGAAGTAATTAAGAATAGACAATCAATTTTCTGCACCATCAAGTTATTGAGGGTGACAAAGTCACGAAGTTGTACTTGCAATTGTAGAAAGTGACAAGAGAACAATAGAGAAACGAATTTGGCAAAGTAAGAGAAACGGATTTGGCAAAGTAAGACAAATGAAGAGAAAAGGAAGATGCACCACCCTACGCACACCAAGTATGGTGATGCTATGATTGTAACGGGCCAAAGAAACAACTTGCCTGCACCCCTTTTACTCCCATCTGCTGAATCAGCTCCGTAAAAACGCCTGGGTCTGACTCAATGGTACACCACGACATCTTGAACAACGACGAGCCTCTAGGCTTCACTAAATAAGGAATATTGGACCCCTTAGCCCTGCTTGAATCTTTTCTACAACCTACTTGATTCGGAGCTAGCGCTCTTGAACCTCCTGTTTGTTGCCACTCTCTTGACTTGTGCTTTGCCCAGTGCCAGAGAAGGTTCTGATGCACCATGCGCCATTGGCATAACCCCTGGGTTATACGAATCCCCAGTTTCGCAAATTAACCCAGGAGTTGGTTGGGGGGAACGTGAGAATGAAGTGCAGATCGAGTGGTGAACGCATCAGAAAATCGTCAGTGGACGGCCTGGATTAGAAGGTGGTGTAAGAGGGGTTCAGAACAAGGGTTAAATGGTTAGAGTAACAAAGCTGGGTGATGGCAACACGCGCTTGAAATAATTGGCATTGGTGGCCTAGAGCCCATGCAAAGCGCATCTAGCTCATGTGAGAAACATGGGCGACAAGGACAGGTATCAGCAGTTCTATCAGCCAAAGGCAGATTTTACAAAGCAGGTCAGAATTGTTCTTGTTTCCTTGGTTGCGCTGGGTGGTCTGCTGGGTCTCTATTTGCTTGCAGTCCCTTCGGAAACAAAGTCGTCTTCTAGGACGTATAAAAATCTTGCGAATAGTGATCGTGGTCTCCATCTGGATGCTGATTTGGCGAGGCTAGATCTTCAACCTGGGGCTGGAGATCCAAGAACTGATGACCGGGGCTGGATGGTCGATCCAAGGGAGGCAGCCCATCAAGCAGGTCTGCAAGGTAAGCCTCTGGGCAATGGGGCTTAGCACACTTCGCTTGAATGGAAGTCGAGTCTGGTTATCAGTGCTCAGAGCTGATTTGGTGATAATTGAACGTGTGATGTGTGACTTTATAACCACAATTGTTGACTTTTTAGGCGTGTTATCGTGTCTTGCCTCTTGTATGTATCTGTTTCAACCTTACAACCACCGTCTCTATGAGAAAGTGTGTAAAGCACTTCTCTGATGCCAAACAGAGGCACCCCTTCCTGTCAGCAAAATCGGCAGTGCAAAGTTGATCATAAGGAGCAAGATTCGCCGGTGCCACTAAAAATTTACTGGAATCTGGAGGGCGCTTGATGTGAAGAGCAAAGGCAATTGACGAACTGGGGGATATTATATGCTTTGAATGTGAAATCTGTTTCGATAAAGGGCAGTGAGACGGTTGTGAAAGTGGGAGCCGACTGCAGAGGCTTGCCTTTCTCAAAATTGACCAAAAGCTGAACTTCCTTGTCAAGGGGCGGCTGTATGTGAAGATGTGCACCTAGGCATCATCTTACCTGGCAAGACCAGGGGGAATCACCGGCATCACACAAAGAATGAAACTTTCATCCTGTGGGGGGCAAGAACGAAGTGGAGGGTGAGACTCAGCTTCTCTTACAGATCTCCAGAGTGATCTCCAGAGTGAAGCCTATATAGTATGTTGCTTTTGCTTTGTTGGTGCTGCTCTGAGTTGCCAACTTCACAGAGCTGTCTGGATTCGCGTTTGATAAGAAGATGTGGGGAGAGGTCGCTTTTGAGGGTCAGGATTTGTTCATGTGGCAGGAGCCGGTACAACCCATCGATTGGCCTGATGTTGCATTGCAGGTGGAGAATCCTGAGAGCGAACATGGCTATGTCGAGGTGGTTCTTGAAAGAGACGATGTTGTAGTCACGGTGGGAAGAGCTTCAATTGCTCATGCTGTAATAAACATCGATACTCAGCTGTCTACTAATCTGGTTTCTTGTACTGATGGTCTCTTTGATCCCAAGCATCCGGACACAGATTACAAAGTATGGAAAGATCTGAATCACTAGCTCTTTCAGGTTTCATTGATTGGTTCTGAATTCATCAGACGATTACTCGTAGTAACACACCTCATAATTACCGGAAGACTGTGCAAGACTGGCTAGTGTCATGAGTCATGGGATGTAAAAGGCGCTACGCACGGTCCTTCCATTTTCCATGGATCTGGAGCGTAAAACGAAGATAGGATTAGGGTGCCCCTGCACCATGGATTATCCTCAATGGCAGGGCTGACCATGGGACCAGGCTGACATGAGTGCATGCAATGATGGCCGCTTGAGGTGCTAGGACTCGAGGTGCCGCAATCCGATATGAGAGCTTCCGACAGAAGCTCTTCAAAGAGAACCAATTCGTGACCTCATTGGATTGTGCCGGAGCTCCAATGCATATATGCACATCATGTTGTGCTAAGATCGGCTGAGCCGATCACTGATCGTGCATGTGTCATGGCAAGTTGAATGCACGACTGCGCCGCGATCTGGCCTAATTTATAGTAAGTATTCGGTTAAGTGGCACGGAAAGAAACGCATGGAAAGAAACGTAAAGAGGCAATACATAAGACATATATATGTCGAAGATCTAGATCGCACTTTCTCCGCAACAAAGGCCGATCAGCTCGAGCGTGGAGGCCACAGCCAATAAATGATGGTCAACAAGTGCGGATAAGCCTCTAAGTTCGGCAGTATATACATTTGCATGGTCATTCGAGTCTGAAAGTTCTGCATGATCTCGGGCAGGGAGAACAAGTCAGTACCATTGTTAGTAGGATCGTACTAAATAAGCACATGACAAATTTTCGAGACAGCTAGTCACATGCACTTGTATATATCACCTTGTGCCCTTGAGTGATCATTGCAGGATGAGCCTGGGTGCTTGAGCATGCGAAAGAACAACCTACGTCGCAATTGTATGAATCAGACCAACCCATATGCTTGCTGCATTTGTTGCTAAATTCAGAATCACAAAAATGGTGGCACAAGTACAGCAAAAACAACGCAAAAACAAACACAAAATGATATCAAATCGATGACTAGGATGAGAGAGTCCGCATAGTTCTGCTCATATGGAAGTTGTCGACTCTGATGGGGCAAAGAGCCTTCCCCCGCAAGTTGTCAACTTGAAGTTGCAGCTACAACAACTGATATATGTGGTGCTTCAATTGAGCATATCCTTCTCATGCTCTCAAGTACCTTCAATTTTCCCAGTTCCTCGTGCCATGTGTACCAAACCTCGTACCTGCAACGTTTTCACGGCATTTGTAGGACAGGCTTTGATTAGAAGAAAAAGGGCCGAAGAAAGCTCTAAAGGTAGATCTCAAAAACTGAGGTCATAGGGAGCGAAAGAGGTTAGCAAACTCCACAGACTCACCCAGATCGAATATGCAATTGAAGCGAGAATAGAGTACAGAAGTAGATTAAAAACTTCAATTTCTCATAGTCTTGCTCCAAAACAGGCTCAGGCAGTATGGACCTAATAAAAGTTAAGGAGGAAGCTTTTGTACTTGATTGTGGCCACGCAAACGGGCAAGCCAAAAACGTGGGGCATTCTGGCACTTATTGATCTTTCTGCCGTTGGGATTCAAGTGTGCAACTTTCACGGTAAAAGCCTAGTGTCAGTCGGGACCAAGACAAGAATGTTTGAGCATCTCAACCATCCCCTTCAAATCTGACATTCCCTATTATGTTGTTAAGCTATGCATATTGCAAAAGCTCACCATAAGGAAGCCGCTGATGCTGACAAAAGCTACGGGGATGATTACGCTTGTGATCCGGTCATGCTTGCCCTGTTGCAATGCGAACCTGTGGAAGTCAGGTCCGGAGGAGCATAATAATCCAGGATGCTCAATGTGAAAGAGCTCACATGCACAAGGGGTAGAAAAAGGCTCTCGCAGATACATCACAGTTCCCTGATCAATCTATGTTGGACGTGAAACCAGAGCAAAGCGTCCCTCTTTCCTTCATTCCTTCCCATTGAGGGAACACATCCAACCAGCCGGGGTCTTTGGATGTTCCTACCTTCAGGTGCACGAACGCCTTCTGCGCCTGGAAATAGTGCTGCTTTTCCAGAACCCCACCTTCCCCCGCCATTGCGACGTCAGACAGCGCTCTCTGGCGATCAGCACCTCCAAAATTTTGATCCGTCATCTGCACGGCTGCCGCAGCATTCGATCACATCCTAGTTCGGCACGGAGACATGGACCGGCCGCACAGGACAATGTGCTCAGACTCTAGACGGCCAGATTGTCACACGAAGTCAAGTCCAAGCGATCGGACAGCTTCGATTCGCCCCTTGGTTCTCATCTTTCCCTTGGGCAGTACCAACCGGCCGGTCGAGTGGCGCCAATTCGACTTTCCAAAGGAAGCGACTCCGGGTTGGACAATGACTCTGACTCCGAGTCTAGTCTCTGACTGTACACACACTGACACAGTGTACTCTGATACTGTTACTATCTAGAGTACTCGGGACTGTACCGTGTACGTCCTCCTGATGGCGTCCTCATCAGCTCGTGAGAAAGGCTTTGAGGTTTCCAAACAGCAGGCTTCTCATCAGAAGGTGTTCTCGGGCGCCATTCTGCAATTTGAACACACAGGTACATTGTTCGTGAAGTCCAAAGCTGGGGCTTCAATGTACGCCGAGCTTCAAAATTAGGGTTCCAAAACCAGGTGCTGAAAAGCATGCCTTGAAAAGTGGAGGTTTCCAGGTTCGAACTTAAAAGGTGCTTTCTTGGAATCATAGTCTGCCAGGTTCGAGAAGCCTATGTTGTATACGAGGAACATACCCACACCCAATGTCAGCTGCATTCTGAACACTAAGGGACTGACTGCCCTCGCTGGCAGTCAAGGGACTGGCAAAAGGGAATGCAGCCATGGGGCCATATCAGGACCTCTCTCCAAGCAGATATGCTGCAAAGGAGCGTGGTAAGTCAGCTGACTCACTATTGAAAACTCAAAACTGCTTGCTTTCCAGGGGCTTTCCAGCTAGAATTGTGTGAGGCTGGCTAGTCCAGGGTTTACCTTTGAATTGTCTTGGTGTGCTCAGGAAACGCCTTTGATTTTGCCCTTTCCATCACCTGGACCTTACTTGACCAACTGCACAGATCTTGCATGGCTTGACTAAAAGTACTTTCTTCCCCAGATGCATACAGTTCAGGAGGGCCCAAACAGGCACCGCCACCAAGGGGGGCGCAATTACGTCGGCCCGTCTTGGGCCGCAGCGCTCCGTGGCACGAGACTGCGGCACCCATTGCTGATCTCCGCAGTGCAAACGGATGGGCTCAGCTCTCATCCCAGCCGCAAGGCTTGAGGCCAATTTCGATAGCGTTTGATCTGAATCCTCCTGAAGGGCATACTCAGTTGCAGTATGATACTGCAACCAGTAGGACGTCTGGTGCCCCTGGTAGGCATTGGGACACTCGTGCAGATGTCTTGAGCTCAAAGACGTCAGCATTTTACCCTGAGCCAAGCTACCAAAGAAGTCCAAGGAGACAAGCCACCAATCATGTAGCGAGCAGCTCTCAGGCATCAAAAAGACCACTGGTTGAGCCGCTCCAATTGCCATCACATACCTTCCACAAGCCATCTAGGGTCTTTACCCCCTTCGATCACACAAGCAGCTACCCCTGGCAAGAAAAGCCACCGACTGTTCGTAACGGGTCGTCCAGCTTGTTTGTAGACTCACAGAGGACGCAACCGGCTTCTTATATGCCCAGCTTCCAGCCACAGCAATCGCAGACTTCCAGCCCTTCCTATCCTAGCCAGTCATCTTGGCTGGAAGGGTCTACAGCCTCTGCATACCCCGCTTACCAACCTAGCAGGGCGTTTTCTGGGTTAAACGACCCTCTTTCGGCGACAGCTAGAGCAAACCACTACAGGGGGGCACCAGGAGACAGAAGACTTCAAACGGAAGTCAGTAGAGGCAGCCACTGGTTTCCGAGCACTGCCCGTGAGTTCGCTGATCCCGACAGAGAAGGAGGGAAAACCACCGGAGGTGAGTGTCCCATGTTTTCTCTACACATGTTCGACTATTGCCCAACCAGTACCGGTCCATTACATGTCTGTCTGTAATCTTCTGTCAAACGCGCGCGCAATTGGGCACAACCCTGAGTCTGATGCTGTGAAAGGATGTCCAAGTTCGGACGTAGGTCGTGGTACGTCTCCTTACTTTACCTCCCAAGGTTCCGCAACATCTGGGGCTCTCCTGCGTGTTCCTTTCATTTCCTTACAAGAGATAGACCAATGCGTCTACGCCGGGAAGAGCTTTTTGCAGATCCTTCCGCGCTCAATCAGGTAGTTGTCCTGCTCTGGGTGCAGGAGCTTCGACAATCAGCTTAGAAGCCCGCCTGCAGTCTGCTGCACAGACGTACTGGGAGCACAGTGACAGCAACGTTCCGTCCCCTCAGCCCTCACCTCAGGTATGGCCCCCCTGACACTTTTTGCTTGTTCTGATGGGCAGAGGCAGCCCTCTTGGAACTCGTGGGGGATCAGTGCTGACTCCAGTCGCAGGTCATATCTACCCAGCCAAAGGTTCTCTGAAGCTGGACGCAATTCAACCTTGATTGTAACGCAATATTTCTACCTGGTAACAAGACGTGTCACTTCGTCATTGGCCTGTGGCAAGCGGCATGCACTTCCTTTGATGATTCTCTCTCCTCACCAGGCCCTCGGACACGCCAGCTCCGCTTTCGGCAGCACAGCCCCCGGTTTTGGCGCCCCCTCTGGCACCAGGCCGTCTCTGGCCCTCGAGTCCTTGGCTGCGGAAGCCGCTCTTGAAGTCGCGCTCGACCAGAAACGCAAACAGTTGCACGGCATGCTGGGAAGTCCAGTCGGTGGGGACAGCGCTCCCCTGGCAGCGCGTAGGGGCGTTGAAATATTCACGAAAGGGCCAGTGGCGTCGAAGGGAGACGGGTATAGAGAAGAGGGGACCTACGGAGAAGCGAAAGCGGAGAACGAGGAAGGGGCAGACTCTCGGGGGTCTGACGCTTTTGAACGGAAAAGGGTGGGGGAGTCGGACGCAACTAGTGTTGCAGGGTTGCCAGTCGACGGCGCTCTTTCTGTTACCGAAGCCGGGCAAGGAGAGGCGGATGCCAATGTGGCTGGTGTCAGCCAAGGGCGTCCTGCGCTTGCCTCCACGTCAGGCGTTCCTCCCGTTGAGACAGAGAACGGCTACACCTCTGAAAGGGTGGTTGATCCGGACAGCATCGAGCGGCGGCTGAGCCGCATTGGGGAGATGCTGGACATCAGCAGCCTGCCCATTAGTAGCAGGGCGGCCGCACAGCGGCAGAACCAGCGGTCGAGCAAAACGGACTCGTACTGGGGCCGAACCATTCTGCCTGCTTCGCTTACGAGCGGCCTCGAGGGGGTTGGAAGGGGGAAGAGCGTTGCGACGGAGTCGAATACACAGGCTCCGGCGAAGGCGAACGTAGAAAGGGGCCCGGGTGAGCAAGTCGTGAGGAGCAGTGTTACAAGTGCGGCGACGTTGGTCGTCTCGGAAAACTTTGTGGAAGGTGTTTTACGGGATGCGGGGAAAGCGGTCCCCGTTGCCAGCTCCGGAAACGAAGAGTTCTTCTCGGTGCCACCAACTCCGTCGCAAAGTGGCCCTCCTTTGGCCGCACTAAAACGGACGTCCCTCGAGGGTAGAGCTGAAACTGCTCCGAATATGGAGCGTGTCGCGACCTCCGGTAGTGCGAACCAACTGATAACTGAAGAGGACCAGTCAGAGCGTAGAGACCCCATTTTGGATGTCTCTACGCAAGCACAGAAACGAACAGAAGTAGTGGCGGTGCCGGCAGAGCCGGAACGGGAGCCTAGAGCTGACAGGGGGGACGCGGAGGGAGTCGAGACGAGGAAGCCGGCTGCGCCAAGGGCTGAAGGCTTGAGAACAGTGGCTGACGGGGCAAGTTTGTGGGCGCCCAATCCGAGGCCTCGTCGGAAGAGCGACTCTGGGCTTGTTCTCCCCCAAACGCTGTGGACGGCAAACCCAACAGGGCCTCTCGTTCGGGGCAACGGTTTACAGGCCCAACCTGCCGGAAAGGAAGACGATCTGCCGGCGCGGATTATCGCTAAAATGGAGCCGGGGGAAGAAACGCGGACGACGGGACAGAGGCCGGGGCTTATCACCGAGCTAGAAGGGGAGGACTTAGACTACTCGTCTGAAACGGCGGGGCAACGCACAGGCTCCGCCAAGAAAGCTGCTTCGAAATCCAGGAAGCAAGCTGTGCAAGTGCACTCCCCTCCATATCGGAGGTCGGTGAAGTCTCCTGGGGGCTCTAACAGGCGAAGCCGGGCCAAGCCCATCCAGCTGATGAGCGCCCTGAAGCACCTGTCGAGCGGTCGGGGGAAGGCCCCGGGCACGGAACCGTTGACAGTTGTTCTTCCTGAGGAGCCGGTGACGCCCGAGTTTGCGACCGATGGCGGCGCGGGGCGACCCAAACAGACGACCGTTCGAAACCTGCAGAAGAGGTTCGACAGTGTCGCAGGGCCGGTGCGGCGCGGAAGCCTGGATGACATGGTCAGTATCGAACTCAGCGGAGAAGTGGAGACCGACTCTCCGGAGGGGGCTCTGAGCAGCCGGGATGGGGAGAGCCAGCTTGCAACAACCGGGGCAGAGACCATAAACAGCAGTGGGCCGATTGGCGCATCAACCGGTGTGTCAACTGGGTTGATTGAGCAGGAGGAAAGGGGTCGGGGGGTGTCTCCTGAGTGGAGCATGGGGCCCTTGGAAGCGGTGCCGGCATCCCCGTTGAAACCCAGCAGGGGCTCGGTAGATGCAAGGAGCGGTGGGAATGGCTCGGCAGTGGGGCTGTCGGGAGAGGGGAAGGAGGTGCGGGATGTGGGGCGCCAGCTGGCAGAAGAACGGGAGGCACGGCGGGCGGCCGAGAGTCGGGCGCAGGCGGCAGAGGAGAATGCAAAGGTGGGCTTCCAATGGGTTACTCGTCTCCAGAGTGTTGCGGGAAGGATGTGTCTGAAGTCCTGTGGATTGACGCCGTATGGTTATCGTGCTGGACGTTAGGTTCCGTGTCGACTGGAAACTGCCAGAGACACCAGCTTCGCATCTCCAGTCCGCGCACAGCTTTGTAATTGCCGGTCTAGATAAAGCCTGTACCGGGTCTGTACTTTGCATACCACGTGATTGGTACTAGCGTTCTCATTGGCCCTGATGACCGCAGATGAGCACTCGATCAACGCGGAACCTTACAAGATCCTAGGACGAATCTCCGAAACAGCGAGTCTGCTTGGAGACTTGTGCCTCGGAACTAGGGGTCTGTAACAAGCTGGCAGCTCCCTCAATGCTTGTGACGTCATTCCCACAGGTGATGGCGTCATCGCTGGCTGCGGCCCAGGCGGAGCGCGCAGCCGTGGAGAGCCAACTAGAGGAGGAGTACAACCGGAAGGCGACCCAGCAGTCTGCGCTCAAGAACTGGGCCGACGTGGAGCGGGTGCAAAAGGAGCGCCAAGTAAGGGGGCCGAAGCTTGTCCGAACAGTCTGCCGAATGCATGAACCGCTCGATCGAGCCGCTGCCTTCGATCTGAGCGGTCGATCTGGCCTCGTTCTAAAGTGCGTCTTCTCTTGGGCCGTGCAAAAGTGCATTTTCCAAGATGAACCCGTTCTTCGAATGGGGAGCATGAACGGCAGCCCTTAAATATTTAATCCTTCCTGATTCGTTCTCATTGGTCGGGTGGGCGAAGATGGCTCATGCAGAGCCCTCCAATGCAGGCTTCCAGCCTTTCCGCTTATTCTTCGTCTCTCACCGCCCAGGTACGTCAGCTGACGTCAGAGCGTGACGAGCTGCGCGCCCAGGCGTCGATCATGGAGGCCCTGGTGGAGGAGGGGCGGCACTTTGCCGCCGAAGTCCACAGGCGGCGGGCGCAGGTCCAGGAGCGGGAGGACGAAATACAGGGCCTCAAGCAAAGAGTGCGGCAACTAGAGGCGGGGCTAGCGAAGGCGCGAGACGAGAGCGCGCGGGCGAAGGCGGCAGCGGAGAGTTTCAAAAAGCAGAATGTAGAACTTGCGAGCGAGAACGAGGGGGTGAAAAAGGAATTGGTGCGGTTGGAGGGGAGGGTGCGAGAGGCGCGGAGTGTGGGGCCTTTGGCGAGGATCGACGAGGAGGGAGAGAGGCCCGCAGGCAGTGCTGGTGTGGAAGAGAGTGGGACAACAGAAGACGAATCTGCGGGGAGTAGCGAAGAGAAGGGGAAGGAAACGGTGGCAGGAAAAACGGGTGACTGTAGTGGCGGGGTGGGAGTTGAGGGGTCTGCATCGGACTTACCGCAGACGGAATTGGCGGCCCTCAAGGAGACGGTCCACGTGGCAGTACGGGAGATTTTGGCGTCCGGAGTGGTCGACGAGTTGGACAGTCCGAGCGAGGCGGCGGACGGCCGGAGGTTCGGGGGCTTTGGCAAGATGTGGGGTGGGAAGGGGAGGAGCGACGCGGATGGGTTGCGGGAGCGCAATGCCAAGCTAGCACGGGTGCTGAAGTCGACGCTGGAAACTCTGGAGGGGGGGACAGTGGCAGGAGCTGACGTGCGTCAATCTAGTTTAGGGAAGGAGAGTGAGTCGCAAGTGGTAGAGTCCCGCGAGGGCTTGACTGGTGCGCTTAAAGAGCTAAGTGGAAAGCCTGATGCTTTGCAGAGGGAACGAGAGGGTAAGCAGACAACATCAGAGGGTGCGCAAAGGGAACCGGAAGGTGGAAGTGTAGAGGCTAGTGACGTGGGGGTCCAAACGGAAGCAGCGGCTTCCGAAGAGTCTCCCGAGGTCGCGGCGCTCCGAGAGCACTTGCGGAAGCTGGAAGAAGAGGCGGAGGAACAGGTGAAGCTGCTGACGTGGCAGGGGGAGAAGCTCGCTGCGCTGGAAAAGGAAGGGGAGGCGGCGGGTGCGCTCCAGGGGAAAAAGATGGAGGCGGGAACGCAAGCGATGACAACGGAGTCCGCCACTCGTGAGGCGGAACAGACCGGAAAGGCGGGCACAGAAAGAGCGTCGACGGAAACGCGGGGTTTGCAAAAGGAGGGGCAGACGGGCAGTGAGTTGGTACGAGACGCACCGGAAAGGGGGGGTGCAGAGCAAGCAAAGAAACCCCCGTTGGGACCATTTTCGCCAGCACTGTCGCAGCTCGGGTTGCTGGGGGTCACGCCGACGCGGGAAGCTTGGGAGCTGGACGAGAGCGACAACTCGTTCCTTAACCAGTACGCTAACCCGATCTTCGAGCGTGAGGCGGAGGTGCGCGAGGTGGAGGAGGCACGTGCCCAGGTGGACGAGCTGGTTAAGGAGAAGGTTAGGCTGGAAACCGAGCTCGCGGCGGCACTGCGGGCGGTCAGCGAGTCCGACTCTCGGCTAAGGCTAACCCAGAGAAACCTGGAGGGGTTAAGAGGAGAATTGGAGACGGATCTCGACACCCCGGGGGGGTCAGTCGCGACTGACCGAGCGGTTGCGGGAAGCGACATGGGGGGAGGGAACACCCCGATCTTTGGGTCGGCGGCCGAAACCCCCGAAACCGACGCAGCCCTTGCGGGTTTGACGACGAGAGTGGCGGAACTAGAGATGCAGAACGCGGCGCTCATGCTCAAGCTTGCTGAGGCGAAGAAAGCGGAAGGGAATCTTACCAGGGTGGGAAATTGGGCGAACGAGAGCCGGCGGTTAGAGGAGGAGTTGCAGACGGTAGTAGGGAGGTGGGAGGCGGAAGCGCAGCGGTTGGCGGCGCTTGAAGCGGAGGGGCGGGAGAGGGAGAGGCGGCTCCGAGAGGAAGAGGCGCGGGGGTACGCAGCACAGAGGGAGCTGGAGAATGCGCAGCGACAGGTGAGGGGGGGGTACGTGATCAGGTGGAAATGAGGCGGGGGAAAAGGTGGACGCTTCTTTGTCTACGCTTTCTTTGGAAGCAGCACAGCCGAGCAGCAGCGACATATTATCGTCCGCTACTTCCGGCGGTTCCAATTTTGGGCTGTCTTCACATTTTTATAGCATGCCATCTCGCTACCACAGGGCCTGCTCGAGATGCTTCTTTGCCTCTCCTCTCCCCAGCTATGCCAATCTGGACCCTTTCTCTTACCCAAATTCTCTTCACCTACAAACACTTGCTCCTCTGGTACTCTTGTCGGACAAACTTTTCTCCGAAACCACCCCCGCGTTTTCTTGTCCAGGTTCGGAAAGCAGAGGCGGCCGCAACAGAGGCGCAGCAAGCGGCGCTCACTGCGCGCCGCCGGTTAGACGACAAGGAAAGCGAAGTCACCGCTCTGGCCGAGGCCGCGAGCGAGCTGCGGCGAATCTGCACGGAGCAGGAGGACGTCATCGAAGCGCTGCGGCAGGAGAACGATGACGTCATGGAGGGGCTGAAGCGGGAGCAGGATGACGTCATGGCGGAGCTGCGGCGCGGGCACGAGGCGGCGCTCGAGGCGGAGCGGCGCGAGAAGGACCGCCTGGCGCAGGAAGTCGGGCGGCTTCTGGGGGGCCGTAAGGTGAGGGGCAAAGGGTTTCTGGGGGATTAAGGACTCACAATTCTTCGCGACTATGCACTGCCGCACCTGTGCGCAGTGCGTGCAGATTTCGCACTTCTGAATTTGGTTCGTGAGGTCTGGTTGCGAACCGCTCTGTTGCTATCAGCAACCCTGCTATTTGGGAGGGCCAAGTATGAAACACCCGCGAAGTTTTGAAGTGTGGAGGCTCGGAGCGTTCAACTTTTGCAGTATCCAGCACCAATTCCTTGTCACTGATTATCAAAAGCGCACAGGTGGAAGCGGCATACTCAAGTCAACCAATGCTTCCGTTCTGTACCACTGGTTCACAATCCACCTTCTTCATCCGTTGACAGAGTCTTACGTCCGTTAGGGTGCGCGTCGACCGAAAACTCATTTGGCCTCCAGTGTTGCCTTCGTAGTACCGCCAAGTAGGAGGTACGGTCCTTTTCAGGCCGAAGCCAATTACCGCTGTGGTATGTACCTTTCTAACGACGTGGATCTACCATTCGATTGCCTCAAAGCTCGGAAAGAATCTGGAAAGCATTTTGCAGCGTTTCGGTCGATGCGAACCCTTACACTACTTTTGCAGCCCGGGGCCACCAGCCCCACCGCGCTTACGCCCGGCGACCTGCTGGGCCAGGCTGAGCTGCGGCGGTCGCTGGCTGCCGCTGAGGCGCGCGTGGCGGAGTTGGAGGCCTTGTTGGAGGAGGCCAAGAAGAAGGACGGCCTGCTGGGGCTGGTACAGAAGGCGCACCAGACCATCCGGAAAGACATGGGCGACGCCGACAAGGCCCTTGGCGAGATGCGAGCCAGGTGAGGGGGGCGGAAAGTTGGTCGTTCTGCGAGTAACTTACGTTGGGAAAAGGAGCAAAGGCAGTCTCATGGATTTGTAACAGAGTTTAGAAGTTACACGTTGCGCTTGAGGAACGAGACATCCATGTGTAAGCAAGGTTACTCCATGGGGGCAAGAGGATTTTGAAGGAACGATTGGACACTGGTTTTGGAGGGCAGAGCGGCCCTCGTGGAATATCGAACTTCAGTCTGCGATGACATCTCCGATGTTCTCGGGCGCATATGGGGTAATCAAATAATTTTCTCAACCTGAATGTGGTGCATCGTCGAACCTGGCAGGAGTCGTGACTTGAGGTCCCGGCTCATCGTGGATTGAACCCTCGATCGTCGAGTTTCACGCCGAAATCTTGCAAATACTGCAACGCTGAAATGGCCGAGCACAAAAGCGATTGTGAGGTACTACATCCAATTCGGAAAGTTTTTGCTCTGGGGTTTCCGCCGTTCGCTTCGAGACCAAAACAAATACCGCCTCTTGCACGCTTGCCCTGTCGTCCTGGATTTCGTTGCAACATGCATCCTAGATAGCCAGCAAGAAGCTTCGCAATTCCGCAAGTTCCCTATTTCTGACGCTTACTTTTCTTGCGGACCCCCGCAGGTACAAGGAGATGGAGGCGCGTCTCGCGGCCAGTCTCCAGGAGGCACGTGACAAGGAGTCCGCCGCCCGTGCTGACGCGGACAAGCTCGCCCAGGAAGCGAAAACATTCCGCTCTGACGTCACAGCCCTGAAAGCGTCTGTCGAGGAGAAGGAGCGGGCGCTGGAAGAAGCTCACAAGCGGGCGGAAGCGCTGAAGCAGCGGGCGGAGTCGGCGGAAACGGAGGCGGCTGGGTTCCGCCAGCGGAAGGTCTCGGCGGACGAGCGGAATGCGGCGGCGCTGGTGGACGCACGGGCGGTGCGCGAGCAGGCGCAGATGCACGAGCGCGCGGCGAGGGAGGCGGCGCGGCGGATCGAGGTGGCGGAGCGGAAAGCGGAAGAGAGTGCGCAGGTGAGGATGCCAGGAGATGAGTAGGCTGGCTCTGGTCTTTTGGATCAGGGGCGTCTGTCTGAAAAAAGCTGTCAAAGTGATTAGAAGAAGTATCGGGGCGTGAGTCTCTTAGTAAGGCTCACGCAAACGCAGCAGAGGGGCATCGTACAAACACTGTCGAAGAGAAAGCTATTCATGGAACAAACGGAAGGACTGCGACGCGCTCTGAGGGTCTGCTTCTTATCCACTGCGACGAACTTATCCGTCATGCTAGCCCTTCCGTTCGTCTGTTCGCCCTCAGAAAATAGTCAAGATCGCTCACAAACGATCGAAGAGGCGGACACCCTAAGAACGTGAACCGAACATATTTCTTCAGGCGATCGCGGACCTTCAGCGGGGCCTCTCCACGAGCCTGGAGGAGGCGTCGGCGGCACGCGGCCGCGCGGACGCGCTGCAGGCGACGCTGGCGGAGCGCGAGCGCGCGCTCAAGGCGCTGGGCGACGAGCTGCAGGCCGCGCGGGACACGTGGCAGGCCAGGGACGCGAGCGACGCGGGCGCGGAGAGAGAGCGCGCGGAGCTGCGGCGCGCTCTGGGAGACCACAAAGCGCAGGTGGGGATTGCTCTCGGAAGTAACGGCTGCGTCTGATTGTTTGTCGTGCCGTTTTATTTCCTGTGTGACAGACTGGTTGCTGTGGGTTGTCCGGCCGGGGAAAAGATACAATTGTGAAGGACACGTGCGTGCGAGACGCCGCAGATTCCGGTGCCGTAGGCTGACTGTTGAGATAGATTGCTGGTTCTTGCGAGTCGCTCTTTTAAGCCTCTCACTCCTTTTCTGCCCAAATTGGAGTTCGCGAGTTCGCAAATCCAAGGTGCAGGTTCCTTGACCAGGAAGTCCATGGCTATGAAGGGCTGATTTCTCGTAGTTAGTCGATGCACGAGTAGGCATCCAATTTATGCTTGCTACAAGAAGCTGAGAGGAGCGCCTTGCCGGAGTTTTTTCCCCCCATCCTGACATGCTTAAGAATGCCGTCGGAGGGACTCTCCATTCAGGGGGAGGTGACGTTCGACAGAGTATACAATCGTTTGCAAGTGAGCATCTGAGTGGGCATAGTCAGAAGCCAGACTAGGTTTTCGGACCGCCCGGCTGGAGTGCAGACGAGATCAGACAATCACGCACTTCATTGAGAAACGGCAGGAACGGTTCTTCTTATCTTTTGAACCGCCACGTGAGCAAAAAGCCCCACTTGGTGCGCACGTCACGTGCTGCTTTCAGGTAAAGGAACTGGTGGCGATCAACGAGGAGCTGTTGGCGTTCGGACAGGGCAAGGAGCGCGAGGTGGAAAGCCTGCAGAAGCGCATCCGGCAACTACAAACGCGGGACGCAGGCGCGCACGGGATTGTCGAGGGGTTGGAGGCGCAGATCGCGGGGCTGCAGGAGGAGGCACGTGCCCAGGGCATACGCTATGAGGCGCTGGCGAAAAAGCTGACGGCGACCGAGGCGGAGGTGCGGCGTCAGGAGGCGCGCGTGGGGGAGGCGGTTGCGGAAAGCGAGGAGCGGTTGGCGGAGGTTAGGAGGGAGTTAGCGAGGGTTACGAAGGAAAAAGAAGGGTTACGGGAGATGCTGCAGAGTCAGGGGGCGGATTTGGAGGAGGCGCGGGGGGCTTTGAATGAGGTCGAGTGCGCGGAAGCGAGCGCCCTCTCGCAGTTGGCTGAGTTCAAGGAGCGGTTAGTGGAGCGTGACCGGCGGGTTAGCGAGCTGGTCGAGAAGGTTAAAGTTCTGAAGGAGGAAGTGCGGACCATGGTCGATGAGCTGGACACGTGTCGCAAGCAGGTGGATGCGGCGCGGGAGGAGGCGCAGCGACAGGAGAGGGAAACAGCAGTGCTGCGGAACAGGGCGGCGCAACTAGAGGAGGATGTCATGGAGCGCGAGGGGCAGATCAGCATCCTGAGGGGATCTCTCAACCACGACACCGACTTCACGCTGGACACGCCTAGAAAGTGGTAGCAAAAGGGGCCTTAAAAGGGTATGGGGCACTTCTTATCCAGTGCGGAGAAAGTCAGTGTTGAGATGGGTTGTTGAATCAGTTTTGTTGAAGCGCAGATTGCAAGATGCAGTTGACTGTTTGTAGATTATCGACAGCCCTCAGGGTAAGCTAGGCCACTTTTAGATACATCTTTTCGAAAACGGAGGGTTCCACAGCTATAAGAGGCCTCCGATATCAACCACTGTAATTGATAGACTATTGATATCCAGGTATCGTTAAGGATATAATGAGTGCTACACTGCAATAGATATAGTTCTATACTTGGCATGGTAGCATTGTCTGGGGTTACGAATGCATTCATCAATTCATGTATGTGCAATCAGACCCTATCGTGGCTATTTTGGTTGGCAACTTCAAACAACATATGTATCGTTCTATTTAGCATCGTATGGATGGAACTCTTGTCTAAATGCAGTACCGGTAGTTGATCGAACCGGTGGTTGATGCAATCATAGTAATCCTTGCATGACAACGTATGTCTTGACAGTTCTTCACAGTCTGTTTAAGTTCCCTACATCACTGTACTATAATCCTGGCAGTGCAATCACTTCTCTCCTGCTCCTTCAACAAAAACACATGTATGCCTCAAAACCAATCTTCGACCGGTCAGCAGGTGATTCACCAAGTGAGGGCAATGAGGTTGAGACTTCTAAATGTAGCTATTTGAATGCTTAAGCAGCTGCAAAACCCTTCATACATGCAGCCCTAATCTCTCTGCTTCTTTCTAATCGTTTACCCTTTTGTAAAACCGACGATTCAGCCAGTGTGCCCTCGGACTGTCCTTGAGCCAGGAGTGAAACCTCCTCATTACCACCATTGCTTCTCACCAAAATACGGAGTACAGAAAACCTCGATTTTGATGGTCTTCCGTTTCCGGTTGTATATCAGTTCTGCAAGGCAAAATACATTTGCATCAGCATATTTGTTCCTGTCAAGCCTTGCTTCTGCTCCAAATGTACAATAGAGGCGAAGAGTACATGCTTTGCACCTTAGGGCCTCCGAGCTGATTGGCACCAAACGTTCTTGTGCTCAGCTGGCCCCCTCTCACCTAGCTTCTGCACTTCAACGCCCCTGCAATGTTCTTTCGAAACGTACTGCGACACCGTGACAGGAGGAAGCTCGTCGAGATCCATCCCAAGGACCTGTAAACACGAAAGTATCCACAATCAACAGGAATGTGAGGCAGCAACGTGCAACCCCTGGAACTAACATTTCCATAATGACAACGACAATTGTTTGACAATCATGGAGTTTTCCTTTTCGAGCGCCATTTGTAGGACTTCAAGTAGCAGTGGATTTCAGCACAACTTGAAAGAGGCTCAGTACAATCAGCATGTAGGAGGATTGTGCTCAAGAAGGGCATAAGGACCACACACATCACTGAGAATCATGCTCAATTGGGGCCTACCTTGGCCATTGCCTTGCCTCTGTACAACAGGAACTTGTCGTACTCATTCTCCGTCCCTACCGAGTGCTCCCACAGGTCGCATTGCCGAGCAAAAATATCAAAGAGGTGCTTGTTTGGAATCTTGACAAAGTGTGCGCCTACGTTTGGTCCAATCTGCAGCTTCGCTGTAAAAGGTTTGCATGGCTCGTAATCTTTTGTGTTGAACGCCCTTCTTCCCCCAAACTTGCACTGATCAATCTTCACTAGCAGCAAGCAGCCCAACCACTGGCACAGCTCTTGGACCCTTCTGAACGAGCTGCCAGGCCCCCAGGGCGGGCAGCGCGCATAACTCTGAACTTGTGCAGCATCTTGCATACTCAGTCCCGACCCCTGCGACTGTGTGGATCCTGTTTGATCGCCGCTGTCGTCTCCCTTCCGTGGACAGAGAAGCAAAAGAGGCTCCTCAGTAGGAGACTCAACAGACGCAGTGCTGGAACATGCATCCTCCTCGCATACGGCCATGCCTAGTTGCTGCCCGACTGCTGCCTTCCGGTTGAGCAGCAGGATTGCGGAAATCCTTTGCGATTGGGAGAGCTAAACTGATACACCTCCAAACACAGGGATCCGCCAATGCTTAAAGCAGAGCTCCAATAGGATGAAATTTGAATCATGAAAAGCTCTGCACAAAGCTCTTCAAATATAGCTCAATCCGGAACAGAGACCCACCCTGAACATTCAATCTTTGTGTCAGAAATTTGAGATACAAACTAGCCGTCTTCGTCCCCCCCCCGCCAAATAGGTTATCCCCTCACCGTCCATCTTTTGCAATCCTACGGCTATGGAGATCCAATTTTGACTGTCCGGACCCTGTCCGAAGTTCGAAGCAGGCCCTGTCCGAATTTTGTTCGGGCAGAAAATTGTGCCAGAAACCGTCCGGACTCCGAGGTTTGTCCGAATGCAGCGCGAGGGTGCTCAATAATGCAGCGCAGCCTCAGGCTTGTGGAACGCCCTACCACATGTTGATCAGGTGTTGATCCCCCATTGATCACACAATGGCGCTCCACAGAAGTGGCAGGACCAGTGGCTGCTTTATCACCGTCAAAGTGGTGCTGATGTGATGCAAGGATTGAGGGAAAACTAGAAAAGGTACCAGCGATGACGAGAGAAGAACCAGCTAGCTCAAAGGGTGCGATTGTGGAAGCCATTGCAATTTGGGCGAGATGCTGTAATTAGCTTTCTCAAGGCGAGGGGGAGGGTTGAGATCTTTGAACGACTGTGTGCCTCATGGGTTGATCAGGTCAACTACTCTGCAAGCCCTTTTAACAATTTGTTGAAAAAGAAGAAATGACGAGTGGCAGAGCGATGCAGTGGGGCATTCCCTGCTACAGTGACAGGGTTGCCAAGACAGTCCTTGTTCTGTTGGCATATTTGGTGTACTGTGAGGCAAGGCCTATCTCTTTGGAGCAGCAGCATTTGGTGAGTAGACCTTGCTTCTTCTTTGTTGTTGAGCGAAACAACAATTGTAAGTGTAGGAAAGTCTTAGGGGATTAAGTACTTGTGCTTATGTTTGAAAAGTATGAGTATTCCAAGGGTGGTGGTACTTCTGTGTCTCCAACAAGACTGCCAGGACTGAGCCACTCTGCTGTCACCATATTCCAAAAGTTTGATGGCAGTGCAGAGATCATTGCACTGCATGCGCACTTGCAGTATTCCACCCTTGGCCACTGCGCAGCTTTCTATAGAGCCACCCTTTTGAACCCATGTGCTTAGACGAACCCCCGGCATCTTTGCAACTCGTTCAGTCCACTTTTGGCCACTCATCTACTTTACATTTTCAGTTTGATCCAACCCCTGTCCTTGAGTGTAGGAACACTCGAGGGCCCTACAAGTCAACACAGCAGGCTTCGCAAAGCCGGACTACTCATACTACCATAAGAGGTAAGTGAGCTGACAGAGTAGCAGAGAAGGGGCACTACTGCTGCGCCCAGCCATTTGAACACGCCATTCGACTTCCTGCATCATGTAGGACAGCCAAGTGGAGCTAGAAGTTTCTGCAATGAAATGTCCTTTTCAACTTGCGCAACCGCTTAAGACAAGCTACGACACAAAGATGGCTCTCCTCATCACTGGCAAACAAGTGCTTGCACTCTCGACGCATTGGACACTTGAAAGACGACCACCCTCCCAAATAGAAACCCCGACCCGATTGATCTGCACCATGTGTTGATGATAGTTTACATACATTGCAGTGATGAGCTGCTCCGAGAAGTACGGCTCCTAGTTGAGCGCCACCCTGACATCATGGAAACTGAAACCTTGAGCCATCAGAACGAGGAGTACTCAGCCAACATGGAGGTGGTCACGGTGCGGCCTTATGCAACGCCGGGAGAAGCGCCTCGGACGCTGCGAGCTTTGCTGGTGAGACCAGTTTTGATGTTTCCCCAGCCTCAAACTGCTGGATGTATCAACAAATTGAGTGGGATGAGGAGAATGAGAACACCAGAAAGAAGCTGAGGCTCGGGCCTGTTTGAAAGCTTTGATGTCACCGAGTCTCAGGAGTTTTCTTGCAATTTGCACTTTGTCCATCACAGCATCCGGCAACAGGACGGCCTTGTTCAGAGCGCCTTGTGCAATGTCTCTTCGGGACGCCTGGAATTGGTATCAGATAGAAGCTGAGGCAGTAGCCTGTTTATGATCAGTGACATCAGCGGGGTTTCGGGCTCTACTGCAAAATCCGCGCGTTGCCGACTATCATTCACGATCCGATCTGTCCCGGCTCATACACTCGCAGTCCCTGCTTGAATATCTAACGTTGGTGTTGACGGTGTTGATCTAGTAAAACGAACCATCCGAGCGGCTCTGTGAATAAGGTGCCATGTCGACAATCAAGGCCCCGTTGCCTGCAGGACTTTGGCCAGCACGGGCGAGAGCCGATCACGTGCGAGGTGGCGCTGCGGCTGCTGCGGGTGTTGGCGGGGGAGGCGGAGCTGCCCCCCGGGGTTGACCAACTTCAACTCACAGGCCTACTCAAGCAGTTGGTTATCAAGGTAGGAAAGATGACTTCAGGCTTTGGAAGTCGCCTGAAGGCTGGTTACAAGGGCTGGTCGAGCTTAGGCTTAGCTGACGAGGAAGCTTCTCCATCTGCTCGCGTAGGCTGTCGAAACAAGAGCTGTCGAAGGACCCATTGTAGTGTTCACAGCCTGTTCGCGTTTCTATTTAGAAGCGACATGTGTTGGTCGTGTACTTAATCCCCTGGATAGGGTCTCGGAGTAGTTCGTTTGCCGCAACGCTGGCGCTTGCCTCGCAGATCGTTCCTGCAGAGAATATCAACGGCAAAAGGAAGGTGGAGGCTGGCGAGCTTTGCGAACGGAAAAACGGTGAGCTGCCATAAAGGACTGAGTGTGAGGTCTTTCGATGTGTAGTACTTGGGTTTTATTGGATGGACATTCTTAAAGTTGACTCGTCGACAATCTCGAGGCGTGAACAAGTTTGTCGATTCACATTTTGACTTCGGGCAAATCGTTTGCGCCTTCACTTGATGTCTTCGCACATTCAGTAGTCAGTTACTCTTCTGAACGGGCAATAACATTCCCCATCAACAGGAGATTCGCTTTCTATCGAGTCAGGAAACAACTTTGATATTGCAAAAATGGAGGCGAAGTCGTTCGATGGTTTCAACCGGACTGCACGGATTAATAAGAATGTATTCCCTCCAGGAAGGGGCGTCGATCCCAACAGAAATTGGAGCATCGACTGGGGCGTAAAAGAACCGGTGAGGCATCCCTCGCCTCGTTGGTGTGGTTGCATCTGGTATAATTGTCTATCTTGCGCTGACATTACTGTCCACACAGATGCGACCAGGTACTCCGGTACCACACTTTATTAAGCATAGCCATCTGATGAGCCATTCTGAATAGCATCCCTCTCATTTCTCAACTTGCAAACATCTAGTGCCTCCAGAACCCCTGAACTCACAACCCTGGAGGCAGCAGATTGATTGACTACTGAGCTACCCTGGGTTGTGTGTTCCGTCCAGGACTACGATCCGGCGGAAGAGTTCCCCGGAACGGGCCCGTTCAGCGAGCCGGAAGCGGAACTCTTGCAAAAGCTGGCCGCCGGGTTCCGGCCGCATCTCTGGGTCAACGTCCACTCGGGCATGGAGGTGGGAACGTGCTTCCTGTTTTTGCGGCTACCAGTAACGGGACGTAATGCAGTGCTTTCCATCAAATGGTGGCTGGATCGTCTGGCTCATCTCGGTGGTGCAAAAGCGATAAAGCGCCCATTCATTCTCTCCCAGAATAGGGGCAAAGGGTACGTGGTCGACGCTAGAAGACCCCGTGCAAGTTGCTCCCACCCTGTCCGCCACCCTCCGGAAGCAAGCCTCGGTTTCTGGGAAGTATATTCTTTAAGAGGATGCAAGCTTGCGGCTCCGTTCCTACCGGGGTCCTTGCTCAACAGATTGATTTCTTTGGCCCTTGGCTGCCAATCACACAACTGGAAGGCGGGTTTGCGGTCGTCTTTGAGGCCGCTTTTCTCTTACAAAGTTTCACACGTCGCAACCTTTTCATTGTCGGTAGAGTCTCACTCACGGAAGTAAAACCCCAGATTGCGAACTTGAAGTCCACCATGAATCACCGCACATGTACACCGCGCGTTCGCTCCTTGTCCAGGCCCTGTTTCTGCCGTACGACCATTTGTCGTCCACTCCCCCCGACACCGTGGCGGGCCCAATGCTGGAGCTGCTGCAGAAAGTGAATCGCCTGCACTGCGGCGGGCGGTGCGTTGTCGGGTCGGGGGGCGGCTCTGTGGGGTGAGGCTCAGCATTCCGCTGAAAGCGCCCCGAAACTGCGGGCGCAAAACGCATTCCTCGAAGGCCCTACGGTCTCGTTATCCAAAGGTCGGAGATAGAGTGATCCCTCCAATCGGCTGAATAGCGTTGTTCTTTCTCCAGACGGATTAAAAGCACTTTCGCCTGACAGCTCTGTAACCGAGGAGCCAACTGTGTGAGCTGAAGTGATGAAGTGCCAAACCAAGCCCCGAAAGCTTCTCCGCATAACGTTCACGTAAACACCCCACGTAATGTTCAGTTGAACGAAACGACCTGTGAGTGTAATGAGAAGGCACCCCATGACGTAAGTTTCGGCCCAGGTATCTGGCGCACGGCACCGCAACCGACTACATGTTCGACGTGCTCCACATCCCGCTGCCGTTCACGTGGGAGATCTACGGCGATGAGAAGGCTAACAACGACGACTGCTTCCGCATGTTCAACCCCGTCAGCAGAGCGGTGTTCGAAGTGAGTCTATAGAGAATAGTGGGACGGCGGTCCATATTGGACTCAGATGACATGGATGGGACCTAGAAGCGCGGAGTTATTGCGCTGAAAGTGAATGCAACGAGGGGGGCGTCTTGATTACGACATTTTCTGCAGCCCTGGTGGGACTTAGGGACGGGCGAGAATGCAGGCCGGAACAGATGATGGGTCCGGTCTTTCGCTTCTCCCGTCATAAGCTTGCAGCCTTGTTGTTAGTCTATCTTTAGACTTTTGCACTCACAGCCATAAGTAGATGGTCAAGCTGAGGCCCCGCCGTCCAATCTTAGGTGCTTTGCTCAGGTGCAAAGCAGTACGTAAGCACTTGGATTTACCACCAACCAGAGCCTTTCCGTGCTAAACTGCAGGAAGTTGTGAGCAACTGGACGTCCGCGTTCATCACCGTCCTTTCGGATTTGTCGCTAACTCTAGACAAGCTGCCGGCGCCTTACACGGACGACAGGTGGCTCGTCCGAAACACGAGCTCGGCACTGGGGCAAGTCAATGTTAGCGTTGACGGGAGCATGCACGGAATAAGGCGGGATGACCTGCCTTGGGAAGAGCATTCCGCTGGCTCGATCAAGGGGCTAGCAGAACAGATAAAGAAGCGAGGGAGCCTCGAAGAGCTCGAGGATAGCCGAGGGATGTATAGCGCCTTCGGGCAAACGTGGTATGAGATTCTACCGATCGTGGTGTTTGGGCTCGTGTTTGCTTCTCTTGTACTTAGGCGGAGCTCGGTGTGGCTCTGGTGGAGACGACGGACGTACTCGAGGGGGCGTGGGACGCCGCGTGCTATTTTGCCGCTCTGATACGAATAGTAGATACGAGGAGCTGCTTCGCAGTCATCAAGTGCATCCCCAAAGCGCTTCCTATTCATGGAGGATCTAGGCCAAGGTGGGCCCGGGCACTGCAGATGCCCCAAGGAGGACTCGTCATGATGCAAATGTATCATTGACATTACTATGCACATCATTGCGTGTGCATGCATTATCGGCCAAATAAACATGTAGCGCGCGCGCTATCAGCCTCAACCTGCTTGGCGAGCGCGTGGCCAAGGTCAATGCATAAAGAGATCGATTAACATCTTATCGATCATCAATTGTCCCTTAAACGTACGTACGGCTATACGCCCTTAAACGTACGGCTAACATAGCGTTGTTGAAGAAGGTCGCGACCCCGCCCCTAACTCGGAGGCCGCAGAAGCTATCACTGTCAGATTGGAAAGTCGATTCGTTTGCAGGATAAGGTGGTTTTGACCGTGGATATTCGTATCGACGGTGCGCAGAACCTCAGCCAAATGGTGGAGTTCCGATGGTGTCAATCGGGCCCCATGTGTACGGATTCCGGAAACTCAACTCCAACGTACCGAATCGAACCGCCGCACGCAATAGGTATATGTTAAATATTGGACACGCGGCGCGCGGTGAACTTGCCCACTTGTACATCCATGTCAGAAAATTCGACATGCTCGTACGGTCGACCGAATTTTGCGTACAAGCCTCTACGGTCACTCTCGATTCAGTTTCGGTTGCACGCGACTCGGCTAATATTTGCGCGCCTGCCTGAAGAGGATACACCATTTCAAACTCGGCGTTGATGTCAACTACCGGTACCTAGGTATCACCTACTCCAGTCGAATGTTCCGAACTTGGGCAACACAGTCGGGCCGGTCGAAACAGCGCGGTGGCTTGGACCGGGCAAGTCACATTTAGTCTCGCAAAAATGCCGGCCGGTAGCTACATTAGCTCTCGGCCTCCAAACTTGAGGGCCGAGCCGCCCCTAACACGAAGGTTCCGACCTCAGACAGGTGGCGGTCTCTGAGTGACCTTATCCTGCAAACGAATCTTGCCAAAATGCCCCGACCACTTCTCCATCAAGCAACCGGGCGGAGTTAGGGGCGGGGTTGCAAGCCTCTTCAACAACGCTATGAAGCTTGTGGACTAATATCGGAATACAACAAGCAGCGCGGCGCGGCCGCTATAGCTCAGGGATCATGATGGTGGCAATGCAAATACTGCACTACGAGTTAAATTGAATATACAGCTATAGCGCATGCCAGCCTTCAAGATCGACATGTTGCAACTTATATATACACTAATGATCGATGGTGCGCAAAGACAGCATGTATAAGCCCAGCGTTACCGCGCAGCCAAGTAATGTATACACCATGCAAAAACATGACGTATAGGTGTTCCCACCATGTGCACACGCATACATACAGTGATGGAGGCAAACTGGACTGAGCTAGGGAGGTTGACAGAGATGGAACTAGAAACCAGGTTGAGTCGATTATATCAGCAGCCAAAGGATCAACAGCTTAAGTCCCCGACCACTGCAGATTATACTTGGAACCACCCACCTTCCTACAGCCTTTGCATGTTACAACAAAGAAACAAGGTCTTGGTTATAGCTTATTCCTGATTCTCTTTCTTTCAACGCAGGACTCCCAAAACTTTAGTCAGGCCATGTGACCTGCTCCTCTATCTCACCAGATTATACACACGACGTATGTTTTTTCACGTACCTGCAAACTATGGCCACTTGCATTTGGTACAGTTTATGGATCAATCGGGCTTCAAACACGCAAAGAATGGGTGCTCAACGGTTAGCGGCAACTCAGATGAACGGTTTATTTGCCTACTCGTACAAAGAATGGTCTATCTAACCCCCTGGCTACCTTGGCACCTTCCCCGGACTCCTCTGCCTCGACACCGTAGCCTGCAGCAGCCAGCAGAGCGCCAGTCCGCCACCTATCAATGGCGGGCCTACATGATACAGTTGCTCTAGCGCATGCATGTTTAGCGGTCCCATCATCCCCAGCACCGTCGCCGCTGCTCGGTGCCCTTCCTCAGGGACCGCATCCCCCAGCCCAGACTGCGAGCTGTCCAGCCACGTGAACTGGTCCCCCGCATTCGCCAAAATATCGGACGCCGCGTGAGTGACAGCTGTCACCGCTCCACTGGCTCCCGCGACAGCTGCCGCCGTTGTGGCGGCGTGCACCGCAGCTTGGACCGCCGGCCCGGCCGCATGCGTCACGGCCGCCGCAAACTCCGCCCCTTTACTGACCATCTCACTCGCCAGGGGATCCACCACTGACGAGCCACTCGCAGCGGAGGCTGCCACCTCAGCACCTTGAGAGGCGGGCAATGCGCCCTCGATAGCCGACCCCACGGCCTGCGCGGCCGAGACCCACGCCTCCGACGTGGCAGCTCCGATGTCAGCGGCACCTGACGCAATGGCTGACGCAAGGGGATCCCCCGCGGCGCTAGCGGCCGAACCTGCGGCCGACTCGGAGGCCACGGGGAGTGCCGTCTCAGCCGCCTTTTCTATGGCGGCGACCACTGCTTGGACTGCCGCTGGGACATTATTTACAAGGGGCTCCGAGGCGCTCACCGCCTGGCTCGAAACAGGGCCCGAGAGTTCCACAGCCTTTTCCAGGACAGTGCCTGCCGACTGTACAGCGGCCGAGAGGCCCTGCGCTAGGGGGTCTGCCCCGACCACCAGTTCGGAGGCCGCCCCGGAAGCAGCTTCGACTGCGGCCGCGTTTTCTATGACGGCGCTCAGCATCCCGGCGGCTGACGTCACCTCGCTGGCGGACTGCGCGACGGCCGCGCTCTGGGCCACGGCCGTGGCAGCTTCTGTGATCTGTGATGCCGCTAGAGCCTCGATGGCTTCGACGCTGGTGACGGCAGCATTGACTGCGGCCGACCCGGCTTGGGCGGCGGTTTCGATCGCCACTCCGGCTTCGGTGCCTGCGCCAGCGACGAAACCTGGAGGGAAGGACCGAAGAGAAGTAAGTACTTCGTACTTGGCATGAGATTGTAGACGTGTTCAGTGCAGGCATCATGAAGCACTGTGAAGCGACGTTTCAAAGGCAGTTCCTTGGCTGTTTGTGAACGTTTTGATAAGCTTGGGGCTTGCATAATTAGAAAGTCCCTTACTCTCGACTCGAACCAACAAGTTCCATATTCGTGCTTTGCCTTCTGACACTTCAGGGCAAGCGAGGTAAGCAGAGTTCTATTCACACGTTCCTTCAAAGACAAACATGGTCCCTTTTCGTCGCATTGAAAGCGTAACTGAATGACAAAGGTGGATCCGCGTTGCCATTGCAGATCCTGTCCACTTTTGTGGGTCGCTCACCTGCCGCTGCCTGCGTAGTGGCCGCCACCTCACTTACAAACGCCGCCAATGGCGTGTCCGCCGCCAGGCCCGCCACGTCTGCCAACAGATTCGCCCCCGCCCCCGAAACTGGCGATGCCGCCTGCGCAATTGTCTTTCCTGCCGCCTTGGCTACCTCGGTAATCACCGCGCCTGCCCCCGATGGGCTCGCAATCCCCCCCACAATCACATTCACGGCCTCGTTAGCCACCACCGATATCGACAAAAGCCCCCCGGCTGCCGCACCCCCCGCAGCAGCAGCACCCCCCCCGGCAGCCGCCGTTGTCGCAGCCCCCGTAGCAACTGCCGTTGCTGCGCTCGGCACGACCCCGCACGCGGCGCCCACTGCCGCACCCCCAGCCGCGGCAGCCCCTCCAGTTGCTCCACTGATGGCTCCCCCCCCCGGCGACAGCAGCCGCCGTTCCAATCGCCCCTGCGGCTGCTGCAGCTGCTCCCGTTGTAGCTACGGTTGTGGCGGTCGCTCCCGTGGCGGCGGTGCCTGCGGCAGCCCCCACGAAAGCGCCTGCGGCCCCGGCGGCAGCAGCGGTCGTGGCGCTGCCCGTGACTGCGGCCCCAGTGGCTGCCGTGGCTGCGCTAGTTGCAGCCGTTGTCAGAGCACCGCCTGCAGAAATTGAGAAGGGGTTGGTTCGGTAGTCTGGCAGGTGCTATCTATTTGAGATCGCAGCAGAACGTTCTGGACGATTCAGTAAGTTGGAGGTCCTACGACCGAATATGGGGCCTGGAACATCAGGATCCTTGAGAAAGTGCAAAAACGCTCTAGGAGCATTCTCATTAGGAGTACTCGTTGGACCGAAATAGATTCGTACGAACACATCAGACAATGCAACATTCAACAAACTAATAGATTGCCCCAAAACGCCAACACTACTTACCCGCACTTGCAGCAGCCCCTGTGAGGGCCCCCGCTGCTGTGCTCCCCGCCACAGCTGCGCCCGCCCCAGCAGCCGCGACCCCTGTCCCCGCCGCCCCTGTAGCCGCCAGAGCTCCAGTCGCGGCTGCCCCACCCACAGCCGCCCCTGTTGCTCCCCCAGTAGCGGCAGCCCCTACAAATGCTCCGCCAGTTGCCGCCGCCCCCGTCACAGCTGCACCCGTTGCAGCAGCTCCAGTGGCTACCGCCCCAGTTGCTGCCGCCGCCCCTGCTGTTGCTGCGCCAGTCGCGGCTGCCCCCCCTGTTGCTATTGCTCCTCCCGTTGCCGCTGCCCCGGTTGCTGCTGCCGTCACGCCAGATGCCGCTGCACCCACCGCACCAGTTGCGGCAGCCCCTGTGGCTGCGGCAGTAGCCCCCGTAGCTGCTGCACCCGTCGCGGCAGCACCAGTAGAGGCCGCTGCCCCTGCAAGGGCGCTTGTCGTGGCAGGGGCGGCGGCAGCCGTGAGGGCTGCGCCGGCTGACGCGGCGGTGCTCGTGCCGGCTGCTGCACCAGCTCCTGCAAGTAAAGAGGTGTTTAGCTGCAGGACTTGTTTGTGCGGGACAAACTGGACTGGCCTAGAAGCATCTTCGCAAAAACGTAATCACCAGAAATTGTGTCAAGGCCTCACATTCAAGCTTGATTAGGTCCCGTCCGCCCAGATCGAGCAAGTTTAACTGAGAACTGCAGTAGCCGTGCATCAGCTCTGAACTAGTTGGTACGTTGTGTCCAGCTTCACAAGCGAAAACCGAAAACCCACTGTTTTCACAGGCTTCTACCCATGGTTCAGAACCACCCAGCTTCTTTCAGCATGATGTCAAGTTTTGTTTAGAACCAGCAAAGGACAACAACGTACCGGCAGCAGCCGTGCCTGCGGCAGCGCCACCCGTTGCTGCTGCCCCTGCCGCAGCTGCTCCAGCCCCCCCCGCGGCAGTGGTTGCCGCTGCGCCCCCCGCTGCTGCAGACCCCGCAGCAGCACCCGAAGCGCCCGCGCCAGCTGTCGCCCCCACCCCGCTCGCCCCCGCCATCATGCCCTGTGCCTGAGTTGCGTAAAACGGCATCTTGAGTTGCGTCGTGAGATAAGCAGCTGGGAGCGTGTCTGAGTTAACGGACGGCTCCTCTCCTTCATCGTCCGTCTCCGCACCCGACTCGTCCGCTTTCTTTGCTTTCTCCTCCCCCGCACCCTCGAAGAAGTTTTCGCCAGAGGCCATGATCGCCTCCCCTAACCGCGCCGCAGCTTTCCCAAGCGAACTGGACCGTTCAATCTTCTCCTCTGGCGGGCAGACAGTCTCTTCTTCCTTGTGGAACGGTGCCGTCAGCGCATCAATCGCCTTTTCCATCAGGGTTTCAGGCTCAGGTTCAGGCTCAGGTTCAGGCTCCTCTCTCCGGAAAGCGGCCAAAGCCCCCATCGCTCTCCCCACCATGCCTTTGCTCTCCCCCTTTAGTTCCTTGCTCAGCGCCACCTGGCGCTTCAGCGCCAGCGCCTCTTGGTGGGGCTTCAGGCCCAGCACCTTCCGCCCCTTCTTTTCCTCTACTTGCTCCCCGACGTCTCCGCTCTTTCCGCGCACCAAGTCCCGCACCGCAGCCATGATCACGTTCTGCTGAACCTCCTCCTTCTTCTCCTCCTTCAGTGCCGCTTGCTTCTCCTTTTTCTTGGCCTCTGTTTCTGGGGGGGGCTCCTGCTCCTTCTTCGGTTGAAGCACCCCAGCAACAAGACTGCAGGCGAACATGAGGCTGCCCCCCACTAGGGTGGCCGGCTCGCCGATGCTCTCCCCCCGGACCAGGAAGGAGAAGAAGCCGCCCCAGATGGGAATAGTGGTGTAGATCAGGGTGGCCGTAGAAGCGTGTATGTTCTGCAGGCCCGTCAACTCCAGAAGACCCCCCAAACCTGGACAGCAAGAGAAGGGCAACTGAGATACACGGCAGTGATGATCAATTCCAACCGCCTTCACCTGTCCAGCGATTGTAGCTTCGTTCCACATTTATACAACCAGCAACAGCTTGAAAGGGCAGTCCCTCAAAAAGGCTTCTTTTTCAGCAGGCATGTGGTGTGTTAAAGCGACGCAGCCTAAACCAGAGATGACTTCGCTCCTAAACCAGAAGGGTGTCACATTATTCCGATGCATCGCAAAAACATCACCACAAAAGATGCTCAATGTTTCTGTTTCCACCTGAGGGGGACCCTTCCCCTTTCATCTTCCCAACAAAGCAATTGTAGGCACCGCACATCGAGGCTGTCACTCACCTCCAGCAACCAAACCGCCATACATGAGAGGCCACACAGGCAGTCCCCTCAGCTGACGCTCCAGGGGCTCAATCCCATTGCCTCCATGCACCAGGGACCACCCCTCCCAACCAATCGACAGGACGGCCAACACTCCCAGGAGGGTGGCAACTAGGCGCAGCGGGTCAAACTTCTGGCAGAGCATCTCGGCCCGAAAAATCTGGATGGCGAACATGGCGGAGCTGAACAGGCCCCACAGGTCCTCCACAGGGGGGGCAACCAGGTCAAGGGTGAGGCCGCCGTGGTCCTTGAGCAGGCCCATGCCTGGGGAGGTGGAGGAGGACAAAAAGGTGTGAGGAAGTGGGGAGGAGACAGAAAAGTTGGAAGACACCGTGGATCAAATAAAGCTGTCTCTTTTTGAAGAAAGTGATTGGTCTGAAAGAACATAACCAAACGAATCAACGTGAGGATAGAAGTACAACAGACCTATCCAGACAGCAAACAAGAGAGCACAACAAACAGTACAATCCCTCCTACTGGGTAGCAACGGTTTACAAGCGCGCCAATGCAGATACAAGCTCCTGAAGGGGACACCATCAAACAAGGAACGCACCTGTGAGGGCGGCAAGGGAGGCGAGCCATGTGTACTGGCTGATGGAGCGCCTTCCGATTGACACCTCGAGGAGGGGCACCAGGATGATGGTGAACGTAAACAGCAGGCTAATGCTGCTGCTGCCAGTCTTCATGCCAACCGTCTGGCTCACAATCCCGGCCATCAGCCACATCCCAAGCTCAATCCCCGCCAAGACCGTCTTCTTGTCCTTAGACTTCTCCGACGTGAGAACGCTCCAGAGAACAGGGGAGAAGGCCAGGGCAGCAAAGCTGAACTTGACGGCGCAGGCAAGGCTGCAGAAAAGTAGATTGGGACATGCTTGGTTCCTAGGATCATAAAACCATAAAAAAGCTGTGCATGCAAAAGAAGCTTGTCGCACCCCAAGAGAGTATCACAGCAGAGAAGCTGAGCCCATGAGCAGACTTCTGAAACATGACAGAAGCCCCTTCAAACTAGAAGAGCTGCATCGTGTACCACATGAAACCCTTGGGCAAGATTGATATTGGGCTTCAGAACCCGACATGAGACGAAAGAGATGTAAGATGCTTATATTGCCAGTGAACCAAACAAACCCAGCAACCTACCCCAGAATGCTATAAGGGCAGTAGGATCGAAATCTATCAACCTGAAGGGTGCAATGTAAGATTGATGGCACACCCCTTACCTTGCAGGGGGCACCACGGCGGCCTCTTCGACAAACTTTGCGGCGACAGCATTGGACCCATACAGAGCCGCTAGCAGATTCAAAAGGACAATGCTAGCCCAGGGTTCGTCCAGACTTGTCCATGATGAGAAAGCTGTAGGAGCAGGCCCATCATCTTCCGCATCCTTTTCCCTTGCTTGCGCATCGCTCTCTCCTCCCTGCCCCCCCTGAGAGCCAACCTTGGCCTGGAAAGAGTTCAGAAGACTAGCAAACCGGCCGGGCCGGCGAGTTGAACCGTCCCCTTCTGCGTCACTTGCATGCTTTGCCTGATCCCACTTCTCTGATCTCTCCTGCCCACTCAGCAACTGCACAAGCCAATCTGACAAACCCCCGGCGTCCTTCCCTCCCTGTGTGTTCTCCCTGCTCTCCTCAGGGCCCGACCGATCCACAAGAGAAACCTCCCTCTCCTCCAACTTGGTGAGACCCCTGAAACCGCTGGCCCATCCCTTTCGTCCACCAGACTTGCCGACACCCCCTAGCCGCTGCTTATCTGGCCCACTCCGCCTAGGAGAGTCTGAACCAACTGCCTGCAAGCGATGATTGCTTCTGAACTGCTTTCTAATGGCGTCTGGCACAGAATAAGGGGCCTTTTCTTCTTTCAAAAGATTCCCTCTCCGCTCAGAGGCTTTTCCAGTGTACCGGTTCTTATTCAACCTGGGACTTGACGCCTCAGACTGCCTTCTTTGACACAGTATTGGTTCTCCCCTGCTCAGTGCTTGCCTGAGCCCATGTCGTGGATGTCTAAACCATCCAAGCGTTTCCTTTGAGACCAGAGCGACACATGCGGTTGATCTTTGGCTCAGGAAAGGCCGCCTATTGGGTCTGGAGTAACTAAGACTTTGACACTTGCGGTTGCCCAGCACTGCAGCACTTTGTTGAACCATGGCAAACAGAGGTATGTCCTGTCACCATCAGGATGTTTTATTATACCGTAGTTCAACTGTCCCCCTGGTTTTAATAGCACGGCCCTTCAGCTTAAAAGAGAACAAGTGCTTACTTTGAGCAAACGCCGCTCTGAAAACTAGACTCTCTAGTGATGAAACTAACCTTGCGTTCTACAGCCGTCCAAGGCAAAACTGTCTAGGAGGCGTACTACAACACACGCAGATCTTGTCTCTGGGTCTTGCCTTCTCAAGATCTGCGTGACACTGATAGCAAAAGTGCGCTCCTTTTGCTTCCCCTTTAGGCTTTTGCCAGGTTTTGCAGAAGGCATTGAAGTTGGAACAGGAGATATTTTGCACCATTGCGCGCGAGTCAGGCCATGACGAATCAGATGATGGTGACTCGAGTCTCGCGAGTCGCTAGCCCACCTTCCACAAGACTCAGAGTGAGCCCGGTAGGCCAGTATATGGTATACCGTACCGGTAGGTAGCCGTGCCGTACCCTGAAATGGTACTGCTCTTTGAACAGTGACCAAGTTTGCCATTGGGTTTATAAATTGCTCGGAGCAGAATTCTGAATTCCTAATTGTGAACCGTCCGATCAATCGAGAGGCATGCATCGAACGGCATTAAAGTCTAGGAATCATGCTCGAGAAGATTGGAACCCGATGGCAAGTTTGACTCAAACCTACCTACATTACCGTCCTTCAAGTCAGGTACCTACCTACCGGTACTTGTTAATTGGCGGAGACCATGGGCTACCATAGCTACCTCGGTGGGTACCGTTCATATCCATTGGTACCTATATGAACAAGGAAGAGACAAAATTTCAACGGTATAAAATTGCTAAACGACAAAAGCGCGGCCTCTCAATCCTTATTCCCCCATCATATGAGACAAAATGGATTACAAGCTTCATCCATGGACAGAGAGTTCCTAAGACGAAGGTATTGTGGCGGTCAGATGCTTACCAGCTTTCTGATCGAGGGTTTAGAATGCAGAAAAGCCTAGATGTCCGGACGTGAAGTTACCCGTTTATTGCTATCGGTTCTGTTTTGATACGCAAGATATACGAGGATATACCGGCGCACAAATTTTACCCCCGATCAACCCTTCGCAGGTATCACTATTACTAAAGCCAGTCCACAATGAAACCTCGAACGAAGTCCAGTGTCAAACATCTCTCCTTTGGAAATTAGACCAATCATTGTATATTTGAGGCACTCCGGTTGCGCGCCTTCTTTGCTAGATTTCCGGGATCGCGACACCCCCCCTGCAACTCCAACTTCAGGGAAGGGAGTAACTAGAATGGTGACGGACATATTCGGTCACTCAGGCCCACCGCAGAGCCCAAATTCCATGCACTTTAAGCCGTTCAAAATCTCTATCATCGAACGGTCGTCGAGCTTAGTTTAGGAAGGAAAGGGCAGACCTTTGCTGGGACTCAGGAAAAATCCCCGCTCCGCTAGCTCGTAAGCTGGAGTGGAAGCCACAAGTTTGCGCCAACTTGGCGGCCAAGGCCCATTCAAATTGTCTGTGTTGGTTGCAACGGAGAGGCGTATAGGAGCGCCACTAGGACTGCTGCAGGCTGCCACCCTCCTGCGCCACGGCTTGATCCTGTTTGAATTGCAGGATTAGGTTGTCGAGAGCCTAAGCACCTGAAAAGCGGACAAGATGGAGGACGATGCTTCAAAAAAGGAGGGATCAGGAAAGGCCAAGGCCATCAACTATGACGAGCTGGACGAGAACATTCAGACGCACAAGACGCAGGCTTTGAAGGTAATTGCTGGCTGAAAGTTTGTGCCGCCATATTTCAAAAGCCTTCCAAACCTGGATCAACCACATGTTCAAAGGCGCTGCTTTATGGACATGAGCAGAGTTGCGAGCGGTCGCTGAAATTGTCATGCGAGTCAGAATTGTGGATCAGTGGTAGGACCGTGGTTGCATTCGATATTGCAATTCTTCCCTGCAGTTTGAATTCCAACTGCCCTCATATTCTGTTGTTAGGACCTGTTTACTTTAGGGCTGAGCTTGCACTCATCTGTGCTCTCTTGTCTTGCAGCACAATAAGCTTTCCGATGCTGTGGAGAGCCTCCTCAACATTGAAAAGCAGATGCGTTTGGTGAGGGTCCAACCACAAAACCTTGGCCTGCTTGTTGCTCATATCCTGGGCACATGCGCGCGCTCCTTGGCTTGCACCTTGTCCTTTTCTATATTCTAGTAGTTTCATTCCCTCTCAAAGGACCACCCTTACTTTGATAATTGCACGATTCCATCGTGCAGAAGTGTGCTTGCTAAGTACCAGATTCGAGCGGTTGAAATAATGAAAAGGTTTGTTACCTTCTTGCAATCTGTGCAGGCTGCGGACATCACAGGGACGAAGAAGGTCGTTGCGGGAATCCTTGAAGCGTGTTTTGAAGCTGGGGATTGGAAGGGTTTGAATGAGCAGATCGTGCTACTGTCAAAGAGACGGGCTCAGTTGAAGCAGGTGCGTCTGTCTCTTCTTTGCACTGAGTACCGTCCGTGACGCGATTGACATCACCTGTAGCAGGTCTTTCCACACCACTGGATCCAAGCATGTTGCTTCTGGCTATTTCTAAGGTTGTTGTAGCTTTGACGTATGCCCCTGCAACTTGCAAGCTTATTCATCAGCGTCGTAACAACAAAGACCCTGAGCTGGCATTCTGCCTTGATCCAGGCCGTCGTAGAGATGGTGCAAAAGGCGATGGCGTACATCGACAAGGCACCAGATGTGGAGACGCAGATTGAGCTGATAAAGACCTTGAACACGGTCACGGCAGGCAAGGTAAGTGTCGTGGCGCTTTCCACTCATACCCTAGCACGACCACTTGTGGTACAGCAACTCTACTCAATTAACAGGGACGTTGTTGCGATACAATCAAAGGTCTATCCTATTGGAGCCTTTGGTTCTGGGAGGAAACCAAGTTCTGGAGTGACCGATTGGCGTGGGTCTTGGTGCAGATATACGTGGAGATCCAGCGTGCCCGGTTGACCAAGAGGCTTGCCAAGATCAAAGAACTGCAAGGGAAGATAGATGAGGCTGCAGAGATCATGCAGGAGGTGGCGGTAAGTTCATGCTGGTACCAGAGGCAAAGCTGATTGAGTCGTGAGGCATTCTGTCTTCAGTCTTGGCCTTATTCCCTCTGCCCTGCGTGAGATCGCTGTTCGTCACCACCTGAACCCCTGGCTAGCACGTTTGAGAACCTCCTACATTGGATCTGGTATAGATATCCAGACGTGCGTTTCTGGACACTATCATACGAATCGTGACAGCAGAAAATGCTCACGAATCCTGCACAGATGCACAGATGCACGACCAAGCAGACCGGGTCGTTAAAGTCAAATCTCTTGGGAGCTTCTCTAAGAGAGCCAAGGTACTGCCTGGCATGTTCTGTTCGTTGGTATGGCTTCGTATGGCTTGACGCCTGTAAAAGATCTCTAAGAGCAACAATCTTCCCCTCCTGGTACAGGTGGAGACGTTCGGAGCCATGGCACGGACTGAGAAGCTAGCCTTCATCTTGGAGCAGGTGAGGGCCTGCGGTGACCAACAAATCAAAGTTCAGTGGCAACCGTTTGCTGTTGCAGAGTTGTGCTCTGGAAGTCAGTCAAGTAGACTCTTGACATCGTCTTGTCACTTTTCCATATACCAGAATTGAGTTCTATTCGTTTCCATTGTCGTCCAAATCATCACAGAATTGTCATACTGTTCTTGTCCGCAACTCCCTCTCATGTGACCTTTCGTTTCACACGTGACAGGTCCGGTTGTGTCTGGATCGGAAGGACTTCGTGCGCGCCCAGATCCTCGCAAAGAAGATCAACCCCCGCGTGTTCACCGCAGACCCTGCCAAGGAGAAGAAGGAGAAGCCCATGGATCCAGAGCAGGTTATGGAGGCGGCGCCAGCGGATATCCCCTCCCTCCTAGACCTCAAGGTTCTCTTCTACGAACTTATGATCAGGTACGAGAACGTCCAAGAAGTTAGTGTGGCTTTCTGTCTTTGGCGGAGAGCAGAGTTTACACTGCACGGGGTAGAGATTTGATTCGTTGGCAACCGTCGGGAAACCTTCGAGGGTCGTAGAAACCAACGAACGGTTGGATAGCACTGCACGCATCCTTCGAGGCACCAGGAAGGACAACATCCATCTTTCATTCACACCCGTTTATCTTGAACGTCTCTTAGATACGCTCGTAAACACGCCTTCAGGTACTATCGGCACGGGCGGGAGTATCTGGAGATCTGTCGGGCGTACCAAAACATCTACGACACGCCGTCGGTCAGGGACGACCCTCTCAAGTGGCAACCGGTGAGCAGCAAGCCGCAGATTCGATGTCGAATCTCGAGCTCCGATTTTTGATAATCGAGATTGTGCACCATCAATGAAACCTTGTAGTTTCCGAGGTTTGCGCAGTGCAAGCCGGAGCTGACCCTTAGGTTTCTGTGTTCTCGTTTCCAGGTCATGAAGAAGATTGTGTGGTATCTGTGCCTCGCGCCCCACGACCCCATGCAGCGCAGCCTGATGCAGGCCACGCACGACGATAAGAAGCTGCTCGAGCTGCCCAAATACAAGTAAGCCCCGCCTCTGATTCTCTGCGGATCAGGTCTGCCACTCTACTCCTTTGCCTGTTGCCTGGAACTTGCGCAGAGGGAAGAGGGACTCCGTCGTCGACAGCTCCGACCATCGTGGAGGGACTTCTGAAGCTGTTTGACACACTTGATTTGCCTTCTAAAGCTGGGGTGATCAGACAATCTCGGTCTTGCAAAGCCAAATACCTCCAAGAAAAGCTGCATTCCGTTGCATTCCTTTCGGGCCTTTGCTGTTGGGTTCTGTTCTCTTTTCACGACTACCATGTTCCTCGGAAAGGGCTTGTCCTGGTTCCCACCTCGGTACGGGTCCCGCTTGCAGGGCCCTGCTGAAGCAGTTTATCACGCTGGAGGTGGTCCGGTGGAAGAGCTTGAGCGACTTGTACCGCCCGGCGATGGAGAGCGAGCCCGACATCTTTGGCGGCGAGTGGGGCAAGAAGTCGCTGGAAGACTTGAAGCAGAGAATAGTCGAGCATGTGAGTTGGGCGCTAGGAGAACGGCTGACGTCACAAGAGTTGCCCGATTGTATGCGCCCAGTCCCCCAGGATTGCATTTGCGATTTCAAACGCCTGGTTAGAAAACCTTGGGGATGTCGTGAATCTGTTCAAGCTGTGCCAATATATGCTCGATGCATGCGGGTCGTTGGGAAAGTCTGGAACGTGCGTTTCTGTTGTTGCGTGCTCACTTCTGCTCGGTTCGACGTGGCCTTGCAGAACATACTGGTAATTTCAAAGTATTACGCGCGCGTTACGCTGAAGCGGCTATCGGAGCTGCTCGATCTGCCAACCGAGGTGAGCCGGTCACCATACGGTTTGCGGCTTTCATAAAGCTCGACCCTTCGATTGTAGGGAGCAAAAGTTTGTCCAAGTTTCCGTTGTCTAAATGTCGTGTCAGGGCGCCTCTACAATGAGATAGGGCAGCCGGAAGATAATGCGTCCATCCGGGTGGTTCAGATGGATTCGTTGGTCACTTAGCTGTTAGATTCGCGTCAACCTTGCGTCACCGCTAAATTAAATTATTGTTCGATGCCTCAAGACCCGTCTCGTGCTCTTCTGCTGTCATTGTCCGATGTCATTTGTGATGCTTTCCGAGCTTTTGCACAGCATGTCGCTCTCGCTTATCTGGGACTAATCAGGGACGGTATTCTCGGCTCTTATTCCGGATCGCTGAACCGCCGACTTTTATGTCGCAGGAGACCGAGAAGTACTTGGCTGACATGGTGACGACCAAGGCGCTGGTCGCTAAGGTGGATCGGCCGGCGGGCATTATCAACTTCCAGGCTCGGCAAGACAGTCACGAGGTCCTCAACACGTGGGCCGTGAGCATCGAAAAGCTGCTGGAGCTGGTAGAGAAGAGCTGTCACCAGATTCATAAAGAGGCAATGCTGCACAAGGTTGCACTTCCAGTCAGCTGAGAAAGGGCCGCTGAAAAGCGAAGGAACTTGACAGCGAGACTCGAGGGAAGTGCATTGCGGCTTGCTTTTGTCAAGTGATCTTATCATCCAACACCCTGGGGGCAAACCTTTGAGTGTGCACTTTTTCCATGCAATCCGTTTTCGACATCTTCTTTGGAAATCAAGGTTCGTGCTTTTTCAATTGACATTCCTCAAAGCTTGCGCTCACAGTAGCAGGCAAAAACTAAAGCACAGGATACTCTAGGGTAAACAACGATGCAAGCGGGAGCGGCATGTAATTTGTCGAACTTTTGAAACGTACGCATTCGGATGACGTGGATTACGGTGCAAACTGGCGGCCTATTGCACGGTCTGAAATGTATGGCAGCCAGCTGCGCCGCCGCGCCTCTAGTGCAAACATGTGGGATTCGTCATCGGGCCGGCCGCTATTCATCGAACAGTATTCCTGCATCCTGTTTTTCTTAACAGACCTTGGGCTGCGCGCACCGCATATCTTGGGTGTTGGCCCAAGCACATGCTCTGCAAGCAACCAAGCCCAGCATATGGCGACATGCACCATGAGCGACCGAGTAGCTGATCCAAGCCTTTGGTGCCGCGAAGCTGATCGACCCAAGTTGGTGCCGCGAGGCCCTGGCACATTGCACACCGGCAAATACCGTACGCGTCCGATCACGCTAGCTTAAATGACAACATGTCGTGCATGCATGCACTGCTTAGTAGCCAGGCCGCGCCGCCATGTAGTGCATGTGAAGGGCGCCGCCAATGCACCGCGGCGCGGCAGGCGTTGCGAAAAAAAATCGCATGTCGAGTCCGACTGCATGATGTACTAATCCGGCGCATTGGCAGTTACCGTACATCAATCCGACCATGCAACGGCAGCAGAATGGAGTCGCGCATCAACACTTGCCAGCCATAACAATCATGCAGCTAACTAAACAGGGATCGGCATTGCATGAGCTGCGCAAAACAATTGGGCCATAACGGTAAAGTCTAGCTGGATGAAGATGTGCTTTTTCGGTTGATATAATGGTAGTTTTACAGCCGAGCAATTTGAGTATCTACAAAGCTGATACACTGCACTACAGCTGACGCGACGTAAACACAAAGCTCATAAGAATCTGCACACTGTTCCTATTGCTAGATCTTCAAGTCCTACACTATCTGCAAGCTATTGGATAAGCGAGCATTGGAGTTTCAATGTGTCTACAATGTCAAGAACCTCTATAGGGGTTGGAATGGCCAACCCAGCCTGTGAGAAATCGTTCAGGTCACCAGAGGAGGTCTGCAATATTCTACATTTTGGACAACAGGGGTGCTCCTTGTTGTCATGCGGATGATCCGGGGCAATGTGCCCCTTCTATGGTGACAAGACCAGCCACTCCCCGGGCAGTCTATATTACCTCTATGAGCAGAGAGATAGACATCTCCCGCGCCAAACCCACCGATCTCCTACCCTGTACAAAAACATGTGCGAGCAATCTTGACTTTTCCGCCGGGATGTTAGCTGGACTGCGCCGCCCCCACCCGCATCGCTTTCGCCTTCAGCAAATCCAAGTACCGCCTCGACCGCTCCCTCAGCGTCTGGCTCCTCACGCCCCCACTCCTCTGCCTCCCCAACTCCACCACCTCCCGTTCCTGCTCCCACTTTCCCCCCCTCTTACTCCCCACCATCGCAAGTCCCGCCACGCCCCCCCGCACCGGCACCGTTTCCGAAACGCCCGCCTCTTTCTCCGTTGCTCTAGTTCCAACCAGCGGCGCCCACCCCTGCACCCGCCGCTCCGCCCGTAGCCTCCGACGCTGCCGCCGGCTCTCCTGCCGCAGGATCGCGTTCAGCGCCTTGGTGTAATTCCGCGGGTCATGATCCCGGCTGATCGTCCCGTCATTGCCATACGCACGCGGGTCGGACAGAATCTCCAGCGGATGAGGCGTATTGAGCAGTGCGCGCTGCGCCGAGCGCACTTCGGTCAGCTTCTCGCGCCGGCGCTCCTTGTTCTCCTGGGGCTTGATCCGGGGGTGGCGGATCTGGTAGAGCGCGCCCCCCGCGGGGAGCAGAGGGTGGTACGGGGCTTGGTCCTGGTCCGGCTGGAGGACCATCATGACGCCCATGGGTGCGAAGAGCAGATTCTGCAGACAAAGGGGAGGAGAAATGTCAGTCGAGATGGCAAGAACGTGTTACTATCGTTTTTGGCATGCCGTTTTCAGCCTTCTTCTTTCCGTTCCGATGGCGATATTGTGATGTTCCGGCGTTCCGTTTCGCGGAATGCGAATTATAGTTGAAAATGGCGAAAGCCGTAGGGATGACTTGAAAAGTAATGCTGTACGACGTCGCGTTCTTATAAGGGTTCTCGCTGGTGTACTGTCTAGTTGGGAAGGTTGTACGTTTGCACCGCATACGCAGAGGTGCCCAATTTTGACCCACCTTTTCCTTATTTTCTTTCAAAATCATCGATTATCTAATTATTTCGACCGTCCGATCGGTATTATCTACGCACTGAGAGAGTCGGCGAACCTCGGCATGAGTGTCGCAGGCCGTCGATGGTTCTTTGACGCATTGTTCGTGCCGTCAGATTCAGTGATATTGAAAACTCCTGCAGCTTCCCCAATGGCATGCCCCACGGACCCGTCCGGGTCCTGATCTAGTTACACTCGATCCCACGAGCGTGCCGTTACTGCCTTATTGTAGGTAACCAATTTTCGTCCACCACAGCAGTCAAACGACTCTCCAACAAAGCTGGTGGGAAGCAGAAATAGGGAGACCCAACCGAGATCGTTCCACCTACGGCTTTGCAACGAGAGAACTCAGTCGTTCAAATAAAGCAGAATCTCAACTTTTGAACAAACAGGAGTTCAGCAAGAAACTCGAGACCGCAGAGCAACCGCAAATTTAAAAAGTCACTTTCCAGACAGTGCCAAAGATGGCCGGACAACTCACCAGGTTCTTGAGGCACGCATGGTCCTTGAACCCCCCGCCCATCCTGCGCAGCACCTCGACCACGCTGTCAGGGTAGTCGCACGCAAACGCGCGCGGGACGATGTCGCGGTGCATCACGACGTTGACCACGTGGTTCAGGGCCAGCCCCAGCTCCCCCAGCAGGTGATCCCCGCCGCACATGATGCTCGGGGCGCCGAATGTGTGCACGGGCAAAACGGCGTCCTTGGGAATGTCGCCCTGCAGTAATGAATGGGAAAACTATCAGCTCAAGCGTTAGGTTGAAGGCCTGCTTCTCTAAGACCGATTCCTGGATTATACCGCAGCAAGCTTAAAAAGATTGACCCGATACGTGGAGACAGCTTTGGGCGGTGAACCAACATGACGAGCTAGGAGGCGAGGACAAACGGGAATCTTTCTCACGGGCTCTGAAAAGTCAGAAAGCAAAAGAAAAACCCTTGATTTCAAGCAGGTTGCATGCTCTGAACCTTGAACATGTATGCATGCACAGGTCGAGCCACTGAAGCAACCACAAACTTCTTTCACCATTCACACCTCGAACTCGTTTTACGGCTCGAGGTATAAATCGACAAAATCCTCAAAAGCTCCTCACCCTGATCTGCATCATCAATGACATCATGATTGCCAGGCTGCCCCCGAGGGAGTGCCCCGCGAACCGGAGGCGCGGTGTGTGGCCGTTGTTGTCCTTCATGTGCTGCTTCACAAAAGGTAGGAGCTGTGCGTACAGCCCTTTGGCGGCGTCGTAGATCCCGCGGTGGACCATGATCCCAAGCGCAGGGTCTTCGAAGGGAACGGGCTCGAACGAGAAGTTGGTCTGCCAGGAGGCCAGCGAGTCGGAACCCTGCGAAAGGACAAAACGTTGTCAGACTGTGTCTGACCGACAAAAAGGGCCCCAACAAACAGGTTAATTAGGCGGACAAAATCAAGCAATTGAGATGCAAACAAAGGATTAAAACTGGAGCAAGCAAGAGAAACGAAGGGGAGTGTGCCTGAAACAGACGAGGAAAAACGACCCCTCTTTCGTTGCAGAGGCTCTCAAAACCATTCACCTTTTGTTGAAAGAGCTTGTTAGCATCAAACTATCAACAAGAATGAGCCACACACAAGAAGATAGTGCATGCATGCAAAGGGGACCCCCTTACCTGGATGACGAAGTAGCGAGTCCGGCTGCTCATGTCGTCAGCAATGAACCACTCACAGGGGCACATTGGCACCGGCTCTGTCTCTGCTGACTCAGCTGCTGCCTCGCCCTCCATTGTTGCTGGTGACTCAGCAGCTGACGTCAACGCTGACTCGTCTGCTGATGTCAGCGCTGACTCAGCCTTGCCCTGCTCTGTTGCCCCCCCAATTATCGCGTTCGTTTCTGAGAAGTCCAAGACGGAGGGCGGCTCGTCCTCCCCCGCTCCAGAGATCTCTGCGTGCGGACTATCGTGCTGAATGATGATCTCGCTCGCGTTCATCTCGCTGCTATTGTCGAGCAGCGATGCGCTCGGCTTTTCTGGCTCCGAGCTCTTCACACCAAACGGCTGGAAGGATGAGGGGATGTAAGAGACGGCGGAGTTGGCGGCAGCCGCTGCGAGGGCATATGCCGTCGAAGGAGTGGATGCAACATAGGATAGGACAGCGTCAGCCAGTTTTGCAGTGGCCTGGCGGTCCCGCTCAGACGCGCTCTCCTTGGCAGCCTCCATTTCCTTGAGCTGCTGTCGGGTGGCGTGCGCCTTGACCTCCAGAGAGGTGGTGTGCAGCCGCAGGCGGTACTGCCGGAAGAGATCACCGTCCTGCAGATTCAGATACAAAATGGTGTTCAGCAAAGCCTTCCAGAAAGAAAGCAAACATACAGTGTAATCATTTCATTTTGCTTTGGTAAGGAGGCAGCGCCCCCCTGAGAATGCAACAAACTTTTAGAAATCAAAGAATGGTCCATGAATAATGCAGCTGCGGAAACTTCAAGGGCAAAAATAGGACAGGAATTCAAGCAAACTGATTGTAACCCCACCTCAACAGAATAAGCTCACGGCCAGTCCTAGCTGCGATCGGAAGCAGCTGGGAAGTATCGTGATCAAGGATCAAGAGCGATCAGCCTTGATTGTTTATCTCACTAATCCTCGGGTGCTACCAAAAAACCTCCGCCTCTCATTGTACAATCAAAACGGGCACACAAACAACCCCCAACCTGACCAAAATGAACACTCAACACCAGCCTTTCCCAACAGTGATCAGGATCAGAGGCTCACCGACAGCAGTGGGATGTAGTACGCCAGATCGCACATCTTGCTCAGCAGCGCAACCGTGCGGAGCTCCTGCACACTCGCCTTCTGCAGGAAGGGCGCAAAGCTCTCCTTGTCATGGGCCACCTGTACCCGCGGAACCTCTGCCAACGCCCCCCGGGGGGGCTGTCCGTCCAAGCAGCACACATCCTCCCCCTCCTCCCCCTGCGGACACTCACCGCACCCCTTAGCCTTCCTAGCAGCTTCCTCCTTGTCCGCCTCCTCCTTCTGCCAGTTCAGCAGCGCTGCCATCGCCCAGACATTGGCCTTCTTCTGAGGCTGCTCAATCTTGACATCCTTCTCCTGCTCAACCTTCTCCTCCACAACAGCCTCTTCAGCTCCCACGGATCCTTGCCGCAGACTGCCCCGCAGACCTCGCCACATCGTATGCAGCCCCATGAGATGCTGGGGGATCCAGGAGTTCTTCTGGGGAGCTGGCGGGAGAGGCAGAAGCTCCCCCTTCTTGAGCTGCTCTGAAGCGTCATACAACTCCTCAGGAGTGGTTGAAGTGACCTGTGGGGTCTCAAAGGGGCTCATCGAAGACGCTGAGCAACCATACAAGCCCTCACCACCGTCCACCCAGCAGACACCTTCGTCATCAGACAAGTACCCTGGGTCCACCTCATCGAAACTCCCAATGGAAACCCTGCTGGACTTGGTGTGCTTAACACGATCACCAGTGATGCTGCTCACTCTGTTGAGGACGTTAGCTGCTGACCTGTCCTTCTGATCGCCGTTGAACCAGAGAAATTTTAGAGAGGATGGGATGCCCACTGCAGGAAGAGGCAGCAGAGCGGGCTCTGACGACTGCCAGGTCTGGGAAACTTCATCCTTAGCTGAACTAAGTGCCTCCTTCGTGCGCTTAGGGGGAGCATCTGCTACACACCGCGCTGAACAGGACCTGTGCGGGGCAACCACAGCTGGCTTCAAGAACAAACGAGTGGATCTTCCCCCTAGGAAGGATGCTGGAGTGAGAACATTGCCGCGAACCACACCGCTTTGCTGTAAACCCCCACCATGCTTGTTCCCTTTGTTGAGATCACAACTCTTGAGGCTAAGGTAGAACCCCGATGCCTTGCCAAGTTGAGCCGCCGAAGACGTCATCCCTGCATTTGTTTCAACCTGTGAACTTGTAATATTGGTGATCACTTGATCAATGGATACTTACAGCCGATCTTCAGGAAGGGCCACCAAAAAGTACTTGTACTCTCTGCTGATCGTAGCGCCCCGCAAATTGCATCCCCATACAACGTCCCTTCCCGACACTTCGACCCTCCTTCCTTCCCCGGGTTCCCTGCAGGGCCACCACCATGATGCCTCAGCTGTCAGCACGTTTTGACATTTGTTGCGCGCTTCCTTCTCGCCGGACTTTGACACCGCCCTCTCCTCGACCCCTCCCCAAGGACATGCTCAATTTCACTGGTGTCAAATGCACCCCCCCGCCTCGTCAGTTGCGCACCCTGCCACGTCGAACTTGACCTGGCGCTGGATCTAAGCGGCGACTCACGCGGCCATCCACGTCAGTCCACACCAGTCTTGACCATGAAATTCTCCGTACAGCAGATTGTTACCAGCCAGTATCGGGCTAGGATGCTCTTGAAAGGAGCCCTGGTCAACCCTGCTGATACAAAGCTGCTGTAGGGAGCACTTTTTGACAGCTTAGGTGGCATGTGAAGTGTCATACGTGTCAGTAATTCGTGCGGCTCGGCCCAGCTGAAAGTTCCAGACGGCTTGAATGTGGCAAGCGCATGATTGACAAATGTTTGTGGCTGAGACTTCAGAAGTCCCGAAAGTTGAGAATGTCCATTGTCAACTGCCATGGTTTCCGGTTCCGTCATCAATACCAAGCGGACAGCGACGAATGTGGCCGACCGCCGCGCGTGCGAGCATCTTCGTCGGCCGGGGCCCTGCGCGCGCACCCTCGTGCCTCGGCACGGCATGAATGGTTCAGGCAAACTTCGCAGATTCGAATTCCAATGGGTGCATTCAAGTTCAACATTGGTGGTGGTTTCTGAGCTCAATAGTAGCTGCAGGCAGCTGAGTTGTTCTACCTGAAGGCTGAAGCATCCCACCTCCCGTTTCAGTTTTCCTATTGGAGCTCATGCCAGCAAGAGCAAGTTGCGATGGCGCAGGCGGTGGTAGGTCTTAGAGGTACAAGCAACCTATTAAGTTGCATGCCATCAGATTCAGCGGCGCCCTCCAACCCAGGCTGGCCAATACAGGAGAGCTGTTTGACACGAACCGGTCGAGTCGTTGACAGGGAAAATGCTAGATCTTCGTTGCTTCAACTGCCTCTTTTCAGGAGACGAACATGTGAGTGAGTTGCCTGCACTCTTCCTTACATTCATTTTGACTTTCTGCACTTGCATTGCATGATGATTGCGCACCATACACACCTAGGGAGTGGTGTTCCTTAGTTCTTCTACTCTCTGTCACCTGCACAACTTTCTGCTCTCGACCAGGTTGACCCCGTACATCACTGCAGCCAAATGTGCTTAATAGTCCTCAATCTGTCAGAGGTCTTCATTCCTCTGTAAGTTGTCTTCTATTTGTCTCTGCATCATAACCCTATGAAGAGTTAGGCTCACGTCTGTGTAATCCGCCCACATTTTCTACATGCCAGCCGTACCAGCCACTACATTCTGAAACGTTATCAGCATTCTAAAGACAAGGCGCCTCTCACATGCTTGACCCTACCCTTCCTGCTTGTACAGACATACACTAGAAACAGGAACCTCCAACCGATTTCAACTCTTCCACAAAGTTTTTCCAGGTTGTTCAAAAAGAAGTAGCTCCCTCCAATCACTTCCAAGGCCAGCCCACAAGTCTTCTGTACGATGTCAAAGCACCGCCGATCCTGCATCCGAAGTCCAGACGGGCCTTGTAGGGGGCCAACCAGATATTCCCCCTCCAGGTTGCAGCCGAGTCAAACTAACTTTGGGGAAACCCTTGGGTAAGCGGTCTGTAAAGCTTGCTCGTGTTTTCCTCCCTTAGGCATGGTCAATTGCTGGCCTTGGTGTATTGGGCCCTTGCATCAATCAGCTGTCCAATTGATCACCCCCTCAGGCAAACATCGTTGGTGGATATTGTACCTCAGTGCAATCCATCATGGCAATTCCATGTCTGTGAGCACTAACCGACAAACGCAATATGTTGAATGACGTGATGCAATTCCCACAGGTATTGTTTTAGAGGAGGATAAGGCAGGCAACATTTTCATCGCGGAGGTCTTTCCTGAGGGGAATGCGTTCAAGAGCGGGCTCGTTGATGTTGGCGATCAGCTCATAGCTGTCAGTGCAGGTAAGTCTGCTTCGCTGAGTGCAAATGCAAGACAGCCACTGTTTCTGTGGTGAATCTGTTGCAAAAGTGATGCCGAAGGATGTCAGAGGGACATCTAAATCACTTGTTTCTGTGATGCAGACTGCGCTGCTAAAGACGATTGAGTTGTTGAGTGATTTGTTGCAGTGGTCTATAATACCAGCGAACGGTATGGAGAAGTCGAAGTCCAGAAGGGCCAGGAGAAAGTTCGTCTCAGTGTTCGAGGGGAGGTGAGATTTGCTTGTTTGATAGCAGTCCAGCTCTTGGGAACTGTACCTGATGATGTTGTTTTGTCTGCTCCTAGATTGTCGCTTCTCCATCCTGGTTTTCCAACAATCTTCGATGTTTGAGCTTCTAGGACAAGCAAGCCCGTTCATAGATCAACGGGTACAGCAGTCGTGATTCGTAATTCCAACGATACTTCCACCTCTCCTTGACCTTTTCTGCGAGCGGTGAGATGAAGACGTCTCTAGCCTTGTTCCACCTTTCCTAATGCAGAGCTTCAAGACTGTCATGGCTGCCATCGGATCACACCCTGCCTATATCAAGGTAACAGGTCGCCCTTGTGTTTTGGACTCTATTAGTGGAGCACTTACAATCCGCTTGTCTATCCTTGTGCATTTTGCCCTTACTTGAATACTGCTAATCCGGTTGAGTGCATTATACAGTCCAACCTGGCCGGTTTGTACGCTCCCTGTCCACCTTAGATGGGTGTGCCACATGCATTCAGGTACCCAAGTTCTCTAGATTCGTGAGCCGCTCATCCTTGAGAAACCAATCCTCCCCGTTTACGCACACCTCTTGCTTGGGTCCAACTTTTTACCTTCTTGCAGGTCGATTTGGAGATCCAAAAGTGTGAACCTACAACTTCAAGCGGCCAGATTGGTTCGTGAATGGCAGGAACACTTTGCGGACAATTCGAATTGATTCCGGTACTAAGCGTGGCTTGGGGCCATGCTAGTAACTTGGAAAGTTGCAATTTCAATTGCGCAATGCTACATGCCGCATGCTACTGCAATTCATTACAATCGTTTGGTAGGTGGAGCATAGACTCACGCGCGCATTTGAAGAAGAAGACAATATTAGAGTCACATACATGTGTGCATGGCGGATCAAGAGGCTTGTGGCCGTCTCAGCTATGTGGCTGACAAAGATGAAAAAACACCCGCATTAATGATGCATCAGTGTTAAGCATCAACTGTACATATAGCAATGCATTCAAATTCCACGGGCTGCGTCAATTGAGAAATGATATATACATGTGGCGACTTCGAATTCGTGGCACTTACTAAGCATGTGCAACTCTGACTGACTTGTTCAACCATACTCGGTCAACATGATACATTATTTAGTTTTGCTGCATGGCAGTCGATACGAGATTGGGACCTTGACTAGCATAAGTACAATAATCATATTCAGTGCGCAAGTGGACCGTATACACATCAGAGCGTCAGTTCCTCGCAAAGCGAGGGGATGGGCCTGCTCTTTGCCAATAAGTTTGCTTGTCATCGCAAATTACTTTAAACAGATCAAATGTCAAACTTCCGCTCATTGAACAACCTTGAGCTGGGTCGATGCAGTGTACACCGTTCGGTTTGAAAGATACTGAAATGAATGTTTGTGACAACCAAAGGCCGCTTGTCTGATTTGTACGCTGATCGCAGTATCATACCTCACTTCGGAAGGCCCTCTGCGAGGAAGAGCAGCAACCAGCAGCCCGGGAGACCATGTCCCAAGTCTGCAGGCTTTCAGATGCTCCATATGCTTGTAGAGCAGAGCGCAAAGACATTTCCTATCCTGATAAGAACACTCGTTTGTGAGACCCAACCCGTAGGAGTAACCAAAACCTATGTGGACAGGAACAGAACCTTCCGAAATGTCTACTGAACACAAATGTCACGATTCCCCAAGCTCTAGACCTTGCTCTCATCCCCTACCACCCGTCATTGCTCCCATAGCCGCCACCGCCACCGCCGCCGCCTCCATAGCCCCCTTCTCTGCGGCCACCTCCGAAACCGCCGCCGCCACCACGGCCGCCACCACCGCCGGCGCCCTCCTGGTTAGCTTGGTTCACCCTAAGAATACGGCCGTCCACTTCCTGCAACAGCATAAGGGGCAGCTCAGAACCTGCACATGTCTCCGAAGGAGGTAGCTAACTGATATTGCTGAAAGGTGGTCTATATGCAAGGTGGCCTAGTGGATTGTCAGTCCTCTTCAAGAGTAGCATTCAATTCTGTTAGTTTTAAGACTGGACCGCATATGAATCCCAACTTTAATGGCTTTGCGCCTCTTTACCCCAGCTGACAGCCCTTGTGAGAGACCCCGTAAAGCTTGCCAGCTTCCTGGCACACTACAATATACACAATGTGCTGCCCTGACCACTTGAGAACACTGCCAAGAAAGTTGCAGGCGGATATTGCTTGCGACTTTTTTGGTGCAAAAAACACAGATACAAGCCAATTGCCAGCACAAATGTCATCTGGTAATGGTGTTGACAAGCTACTCAAAATCCAGCAAATAGGACTGGTCTAGAAATGTAACTGCCACTCGTCAGGTATCAGAAACAGCTCCAAGGATGGATTTGCAGGAAGACTGGCAGTCTGCTCAAGGCCAAGGCAGGTCAAGCACTCACCACTCCGTCAAGTGCTGTGATAGCCTCCTTCACCTCCTGACCCGATGACATGGTGACGAAACCAAACCCTCTTGACCGTCCCGTATCCCTGTCTGTGACAACCTTTGCGTCACTAACAGCCCCGAACTCTGCGAAAAGCTCCTCAAGGCCCAAGTCGTCCATTCCCCATGACAGGTTCCCAACGTACAGCTTGTTAGGGTCGTTCCTCCTGCCCCCGGCGCCACCAGCACCAGCGGGCCTGGGGGGCCTCTCAGTCCTCTCAGTCCTTGTGCCGGTAGGGTTGGGATAGTTCACTCTGAGGGAGCGGCCACCCAAGTCCTGAAAGCACAGTCACAAAGCACACCATTACCAAAAGGCTCTGTATATATGTCGCGCTGATGCGCTGTAGCTGACCTTGGCAATAGACGGAGAAAATTTGCAAAGAACAGACTATTTGGTTGATGTTTGTATCACAAACATGGTGCGCTGTGTGCGCATCAGAGTGGCTGCATAGAGCGAGCCTTTCTTCAAGGATCAAAGGACGAATTCACCAACAATTGACAAACATAAAATGGAAAATGGACTCACTGTGCCATCTAGCTGCTCAATGGCAGCATTTGCCTCAGCCTGTGTGGCGAAAGTCACGAAAGCAAACCCTCTGCTCCTGCCGGTTTCTCTGTCATAGATGACCTGCGAATCACAAAAGTCACTAAGTTTGTATGCAAAAGGATATTCAAAGCACAAAAGAGAATCTTTTGACCTTGCAACACATAAACAGGAGTCAGGGCCATGTTTGCGATTGCAGCATGCTTCGAACACTGATGCACTGACCTTGGACTAAGACTGAAGCACTGAGCCTCCAAGAAAAGCAGACTGTAGCTCCACACCATTACCACAGAGAAGAGTGCTCGACTCTCTCACCTCAACCATATCCACATTCCCAACCTGCTGGAAATGTTCTGCCAGGCTCTCGCTATCGACACTCCAGGGCAGGTTGCCAACATACAGCTTTGTTCCCTGAGGTGGTGCAGCGGGAGCGGGGGGTGCGGCATCGAAGCCAGCATCAGCCTCCTCTGCTGTTCCCACACTAAATTCCTCATCCAGAGCGGCTGCCTTTACTTGAGAGAAGTTTCTGGAGAGAACGGCAGGCCTCAGCTGTCCAGCGGCGAACGGCAGCTCCAGGCTTAGACCAAGAGGAGCTGCCCTGACCCCCTGCCTAGGGAAGGCAGAGATTGCCCGGGTGGACACTGTCTTGGCTGCTGTGGAAACAGACGTGCCAACAAACTGCGACAACACACTACGGGCAAAAGTTGCAGTAGCAGCCATGGCTGCTGAACTTAAACGAAGAATGGCGTCGGAATGTAGGGCTCCACAACGCTCTGTCAAGTCCAAGCCTCCCTGAACAGTGAAAGATGAAGATTGCGAAGTGAAACTGAAAGAGAGAGATTCCTGTGCAACTCGGGCTGTTTGTTTGCAGGATGGCAATTACAATCTGCACTGCAGACTGGATAATACTCGGCAGTTTTCACCGACCATATTGCAAAATCTCGAGCCTTGCTAGAAAGTCTCGGTGTCCTCTGCGAAAACCGTCGATCACAAAAGATATATTATTTGAACGGTTGGATGAACGGCTCTGAAAATCTTTGGATATAAGTTGCGCCTGCAGCTGAGCCCGGTTACCCAGGTGCCCAGTAGAAATACAGCCAATATGGCAACGCTCTGTTGAAATATGAGCCTCACTAAACAATCTAAAGCATACCATTGTACCTATGTATTTAACTTGGCAGTGTTATGACGATTGCCGCTTTCCAAAAAGCCCGTATATATACAGTAATCTAAAGGAATTTTCCGAGATATGGCGGATTCAATATGCTGGGCTTAGTGAAAGTGGATTATGCTAGCTGCCAGTGCGAAGCGTGCAATCATCAATGGTGTCCTGCATCGCTATTGCTCCTCGCATTGCTCCTTCACTTCCCCCATTGCGGGCTTTGCAGGTAATTCAGAGCGCTAGAGTTGTTTGGTGTTTCTTCGGTGCTAGCCCACTTGCGGCAAACATCCATAGGGGGCATTCAGATTCTTTTACACAGACAACGAACTTTGAAAGCGCTTTCAGGTGTGAAGATCAGAATGCTTTGAAGGGCCGAATCGTATTGTTCTTATCATACACGTCAAGCTTTGCAGTCGAGGGTGCCAATCACGATGGCAATTGCGCAAAGTGAGGATACAAATGGGCAGCCGCTGGAAACACAGGAAGCGGACACGTTGGAGTTGCTGGAAGGCTTTGCGTCCATTCCTCAGATCGACAGAGCTTGGATTCTGAGCAACAGCAAGCACGGTATGTACCAGGGATGCCATCGACAAGAAGGCCGTTTGATCTGCCCTGTTCTGCAGAAGTTTCCTCTGCTTGAAGTATGAAAAGTCATTTGCGGCCTGCTTTTTTCTTGAATCGATCACACACCACCCTTGAAGATTGAAGCGTGAAAGGTGCTGTTCCATCAGAGACTCGAAGTGAGTCAGGCTCATCGCACTTTCAAACCGTTGGCGTCCACCGTCCCCAATCGCTTCCCCCCTATTCACTGACAGTCGCCAAGTCTAGACCTCCCCTGCGGTAACTTCATAAAAGAGCGATCATTGTTTGCAGGAGCCCCACTGACAAGCGTACTTGTGTCACAAGTCCAGCGCAATCTGCCGGCCAACACTATCCGCAAGTTCATATCCACAATAACCACACCCAATGAAAGCACGCCACCTGTCGCCCCCTCCTGGTCACCCTTCCCCTGGGAGCTTTCTGGGGTGGCACTTGTTGTCCCAGCTCCCTCTGGAGAGTACACTCTCCTTGTTCGCAATGGTGAAGCTGGAAAGGACGGCACAGCAGGAGGGCCGACAAAGCTGGAGATCTGGGGCCAGGGGCGCCTGGTGCACGAAGTCTTTGTCCCCGCCAGCACGCACGGCAGCGTCTACAACGATGGCTGGTAAGGGGAGAACGTCTCGTTGCATCCACAAATGTGGTGCATTGTATGTCGAATGGTGGCGTTTGTCGCTCTCAACGAGAGTAAAAATTCCTCCTTGGACAGCTCACTTTGTCTGCGGCTGGGGCACTTGATAGTTTGTTGGACAAGCAGGTGGGCCCTTGACACTTCTTTCACGGGGGTTATCTGCTTTCACCTTGTAGAGGCTGATCATGGACCTCCATGGCTGCTCATTCTTCTCTACTTTGCTTTTTGATGTGTCAGGTTCGAAGGCGTGTCCTGGAACCAGGACGAAACTCGAGTAGTCTACATTGCTGAAGAGCCTGCGCCAGAGAGACCTGTGTATGGTCGGAGGCAAGCCGCCAAGGGAACGGAGGATTTGGAGAAGAAAGCGGCAGGCAACGACGCTGGGACATGGAAAGGGAGAGGGGACTGGGTGGAGGACTGGGGGGAGAAGTATACCGGAAAGCACCGACCATTGGTCTATGTCCTGGACATAAAAAGGTACTTGATGCCTTGCCCCCTGATCTACACATCCCACTCAGAGCTCCATTCAAGGAGATGATACAATATTCTCCCGACAGTTGAGAGGTGATTAAGAACGGCCTGCTTAGGAAGGCAAATCTTGCTGTTCATGAAATCGACGTGATGAATAAACTACTTTGAGTGCCTTTATAAGCTATTCCCTCATCGCTGCAGCAAGACCGTCAAACCCGTGGGAGGGATCCCCGCTGAGCTCAGCGCCGGGCAGGTCCAATGGGCGCCACCGTCGGAAAATGCGCCGGACGGCACCGTCGTTTTCGTGGGATGGGAAGTGAAGGGCCAGCAGTTCCAGACTATCAAGAAGCTGGGCATGATCTACTGCTTCAACCGGCCCTGCTACCTGTTTGCTGCGGGCGCCCCGTCGTTTGGCAGGTCAGTTGGCTGAACTTGGAATATCCTGACACACACCCAGCCTCCTGAACCCACTCCTCCATTTTTCAGCAGCAGCCGGCTAGTATGTCGGCTTCACCTGCTGGATTTCAAACTTTGCTCAAGACTCGCATAGTTCACCATCAAGTTCCCTGGTCAATTGGAATATATTGGGATCCTTTTATATTGTTTCAGGGGGGGACTGCTGCCCCCGTCTCAACCCGGTGCTCACAGACGAGCCTCGGTTCTCTTCAACAGTATGCTGTCATGTGGTTCAAAGCGAACCACTTACATACGTCATGAGCTAACTGGACTGTTGTCTTTGCCAGCACAACTCAAGACACCGCCACCGCTTCTGCGGTCGAGCTCACGCCGGGTATCAGCAGCGCCTTCTCCCCTCGCTTCAGGTCAGCCTCGGTTTGCCTTTTCCATCGCTTGTACTCTATCACGCGTGCACCGGAAATGTTAGCGCGGGCTTATATTGGCTCCCAGCAATGCATCCTTTAACCGAAGCCCACGAAAAGACTCACATACCAGATCGAGATGCTTAGGGCGGAACGCAGATCTCGATACGGCTTCTCTCAAGCCAGCTCCAAAACTTTGTCTTGAAAAGCGCCGACAATTCGAGCTCGCTCACGTGTTCCTGCCTCCTCTGCAGTCCGGACGGATGTACGCTGGTGTTCCTCTCGGCGCGCGCTGCAGTCGACAGCGGCGCACACAACGCCACCAACTCCCTGCACACCATCCCCTGGCCTCACAATGAGGGCGCTCAAATAACCACCGTGGTGAGTGCATCAGGCGACCCGCCGAGAGCCCGCCCGTTTGAATGATTAAAACGTCGTCGCTGTGTCTCTTTTCCATAACCTGCTCCGTCCCGTCGTATGCTTTCGAAGTTTCAGGGTTCGCTCTAAAAGTCACGCTGATAGGGTGTTATACTCTCAGAAGCCAGAGCTACCAATCAACACACGGCTTTATCGGCTTCAAGAGGGGATTTCCTCTCGCTTTTCCGCAACCACAGAACGAGCCGTCACCTCGCGCAGATCGACGTGAAGGGCGCCCCGAGGGACGTCCACGACTTCCCCGGGCTGTACTGTCTCCAGCTGCCGCGGCGGCCCTTTTTGGCGGACGGGAAAACGGTCATTTTGAGCACCGCCTGGCGAAGCGTCCCGGCAGTGCTCTCCGTCGATCTTACCCGGTCAGTCGCCGCCGGCTTTTGTTGACTCTCATTGTACCTCTGGGTGTATTGTAGATGAAGATCGCGGCTCGTGCGGTTTCTTGCTTCAGATGCTGTCTGTGACGGCGACTGAACGCTCATGGGAGTATACGAAGGCACGTCATGAATGCAGCGAGGAAGAATAATTGCCGCGAAGAGAGGGTGGCAAGCTAAATTCGTTAGAAGGTGTCCGCATCCGACGGCGCGGCAACTGCACTTATACATGCTTGTTTCCGATCGCGTTCCTTTCGGGCATTGTGCAGCAAAGATGACGAAGCGTTGACACGGATATGCGTCTCATCGACGGCAGACTGCGCGGTATCTCTCCTCGATGTGTCTCCAGGCTTGATTGCCGCTGGTGAGCAGTTATCTCTCGAATGGTCGCTTTCTTGTAGATGCATATGCAGGCGGCCGCTTTGTGTTCTTCACGAGTCGAGAGTACCCATCGAGAAGGTTGAGATAGAAGTGGATGGGTGTTGCGAGGGAGGCATTCCCATCCGTCGCCGACTTTATGATGGCTTTGGGTCCGAGAAAGTGTCTCGTTCCGAAGAGGTCAAGGTTGGCACAGCGAGGCAGGTGACCCGTTTAGTGGTTCCCAATCGGTTCGTCACAAAAATGCAATCCAAGAAGTGTCAAGATTCGCTCCATCTCCTTTGGTGCTCCCTGTCCAGACTGCTTGAACGTTTCGTCGTTCACCTCGCTCTATCAAGCACGCTCCTAATGTCTATTTGAAAGACAATTCTCCTCTACCCCTCATGTAGACAACCGCCCCAAGATGCGAAGGCGTACCGACCGCAGCGTGTCCTTAACTTTGTCGACCGTTATGCAGCGGAGAGCTCTCCCAGTCGGCCGCCCGTGTTGCGTCTGTTCCGGCCCTCTGCTGCGGGCGCGTGGGAACGCGAGGACGCGCCACCAGCAGCAGTGCCGTTCTCCGAAAAGGTACGTTGATCGATTTCTTAGTCTCGGCTTTGTCGCAGATCGGATGAGCGTCACGAGGAAGGGACGAAAGCTGCCTGCAGATGTACTGTGTTTTCCCCATGACGCAATCAATTAGAGTTGTGTAAGGCTGTTCCGATCCTTTTACATCCCTCTTGTTGAATGGCCAGTTGAGGCCCTTGAAGGCGCTTTGAGCCAATATGCCCAATCCGAACGGGCTGGAAACTTTCTCAAGGCCAAGCAGATTCAGTAGACAAATTATCCTCAAAGATAGCCGATGCTCTTGGACAGTACTTGAGCTTTCTATCGCGGCGCTTTCAGGCTTGCACACGTGTCTGGTAGAGACAGCAATCATTAGGGACACAAGAGTTCGTATTGCTAGCGCAAGGGTCAAGAGACAAGCGTTCCAAGCAACTCCAATACCATGTGCAGCTGGCACTCGTGGGACTTGTGGAGAATAGACATGTGGTTTGCTGCAGGTCGAGACGGCACTCAGGTCCCTCCGGTTTGAAGTTCTCCAGATTCCCGTACCCTCCTCACCCTCAGGCGACGAGCTGCCGGCTGGTAGGTCTTAGTCCTGAGCATCAAGTATTGGTAATTTTGAGTATTCTTGCACATACAAAGATTTGTTGTTCTTCATTCCTGAAGCAGGTTTCCTCTCGTTTCCTTTGACGGACCTCTACTTTGTACGGCCTGATTGAGTCTTCGCTTTGTGCCTGTGTCTTGAAAGCTTCGCCGGAGTCTCGCATGACGGTACCCATTAGCAAGGAGGCAGAGGTTAATAAAATAGAATTAACTGCCGTATCAGCACGCAATACGCGCAGAAGACGCTCAGTCTGCGCGCACCTTCTTACCCGGCTCCCAATCCGCTCATCAACTTTCTCAAGCCGCCCCTAGCCACGACCATGCCGCTACAACCACTTCTCAACCTTGAGCATAACCTGCTCGTAACCCGCCCGTAACCCCGCACTAACCTGCTCGCGTGTGCAGGCGCCAAGCTGCCGTTTGACGCCGTGTTGGTCGAGTCTACCTCGGGGAACGACGCCCCAGGCAGCGCACCTCTGCTGCTGGCCCCCCACGGCGGACCCCACAGCGCCATCCCGACGTCCTGGATCATGTCGTACGCGTTTCTGGCTGCGCTGGGCTTCAAGGTGCTGCACGTCAACTTCAGGTGAGGAAGCCAAAAGTTTTCCTGCGTCGCCATGGCAATGTCATTGACCGTCCTTGAAACTAATGTTTCTGTTGGAGTTCACTGGGTTGTGCTGGGATTCGAAGTGTGTGCTTTACTTTCAGGATAATATGCAAAGGTTTTTCATTGAGGGTCCGGCTTTCCAAGTCGGTGGAAACGCAGAGAATCGCGCTGAGGCCATGGAAATTTCCAGGCGTACTGAGCACGTGACGTGTGCGGCTGCAGCAAGCGCATCCTGACCCTGTTTTTGAAGAGAGGTGCATCCACTTTCCAAAACAGACAGATGAGCTCGCATTGATGTTGACCCCAGTACGGCCGTTGCCCCTCGCAACTGTAAGATTTGCATTTCTCACTTTTCCAGGGGGTCGACCGGGTTTGGCGAGGACGCCCTGCAGTCCCTCCCCGGGCGCATCGGCTCTCAGGACGTGGCCGACAACCTCGCCGCTCTAGATGCCGCCCTGCAACGGGGTCTTGCGGACCCTGACCGGGTTGCTGTGATCGGGGGATCCCACGGGGCCTTCCTGGGGACGCACCTAATTGGCCAGGCGCCAGACCGGTTCAAGACGGCGGTGCTGCGGAACCCGGTCACCAGTCTCTCGTCTATGGTGAGTTCAAGGTTTTTGAATCCGGGAACGGTAAGAAAGAAACTTGTGGGTAACGTACCTTTGCTTTCTCGTGTTGTACTTGGTTTAGTACAACACGGGATTTTAAATGTGACGACAGGAAGGAGCGACAGAATTGCAGCCAATGGTTGTTGAGAGAGCGCCGCGACAAGGCCGTGCTTTCTGTCAAGCAGAGGAAGTCTGTGACAGGTTGTACCGTCGCGCGCATCGAGAAGAATTGTAAATACGCCGGTTCTCGAGTGGCCTTAAGATAAGCGATTCACTCGGCTTGCGGAGTATCAAGCATGTGTTCCGCTCATTCTGCGTGTCTAGATCTTGAAAGCAAGACGTAACAAGAACTGACGGCGCCCGCTGAAAATAGCCGGTCCAGTGAAGGAAGACAAACACAGCACTCTTCATAAGAATCCCCAGTATCGCTTTTCTGATAAGGAAGAAGATGATTCAAAGTTTGCGCAGACGCTATGGGATTCCGATCGTGGTTCCAAAGCAAAACGAAGGGACTTAGGACGGGCACATGTTCAACTTCTGCTTCCGCCTCTAGGTGGGCATCAGCGATATTCCGGACTGGTGCTTCGTCGAAACGTACGGCGGACGGAAGGGCATCGCGTCCTATTCGGACGCCCCGACGCTGGCGGACCTGCAGGCGCTGCACGAAAAGTCGCCCATCGCGCACGTGGATAAAGTGAGCGTCTCCCCGCGCGGTGCGCTGGTCCATGGAAGCTCATTGGCATGTCGTGCGAGAGAATAGTATCAGCGCGTGAAAGCTGACTTGAATGTGCAATCGTCGCGCTTTCGCCGCCGCGCTGGGATAGGAGTTTGGAGGAGACGTCAGGGTTTGTCTTGGTCAGCTTCAGTTCGATCCCTCAGCTCGCAAAGGAAGCCGTCACGGGGAAGCAAAGCTGACGCCAACACCGAGGGATCGGCGCAAGAGTCCAGTCAAGAGTGGTGCCCTTTTCGGTTGATGTCAACCGACGAGTTTTTCCTCCTTGCTAAGGCATCCGCTGTTGCTTTTCTCGTTCAGGTCAAAGTCCCGACGCTTTTCTTCCTTGGGGAGAAGGATCGCCGGGTGCCCCTCGCGCAGGGCCTCCAGGTACGCTCACCGTATTCTTCCGTATTCTTCTTGCTATTCAGGCAAATCTTCTCTCTTCGACCTTTTGGCGAGCAGCGAATTGAAAGCTGTTATGCTCTGCAAAGCTCTCTCAGCTCGCCTTATCCGATCTCTTTTGGGCTCTTGACGTGCTCTGTGGACAGGTGTTCATGGGATTTTGCGCGCATTCTGCGGGTCGGTGAAGGCCCACTTTACGTTTCCGTGACACTGTCACCCGTAGCAACGCTCATGACCTGGAGAATCCACGTTGCCTCTTTAATATACCATCTTTAGAACACCAAATCGTTCCAAGCGGAAGGGTGCATGTAGAAAAGCAGGCGCTTCTTCTGACCATTTGAATTGCTTGGAAGAAAAACATTTTGTGTCGAAAACCGTTGCCGAAGTTGCATCGTGATGGAAAGGCTCTCTGTCACCAGTGGCAATCCACCAGTGGCAATGCAAGTGAACTCTGCTTTTGAAAGCAGATTGCTATATCTTACGAGCCAGTCCTTCTCGTCCTCTTGAAAGGCGGGCGGCAGATCCAGCTGAAACGGACTTCAAACACGATCGGCTGAGACTGGCCCCTCGCATCCGTTGGTTGCCGTCTGCTTACTGTTAAGCGCTTGATTGATTTATCCATCTTTCTGGCCGGTTGCTTTGTCGATACTTATGTTCCGCCCCTCTTTCCTGCCGTGCAGTACGTCCATGCACTGCGAGCCCGCGGCCTGGAGTCAAAGGTCGTCATCTTCCCAGAGGACACGCACGCGCTCGACAAGTGAGTCTCTGCTCCATTGTTCCGTCTTGTATGATCACTCGTCTCCGATGGCAATCTGAGTCCCTCTGTCGACATCCTAGAGCGGACGAGGTATTGGCCAGGGCTCATGGCGCCTTGCCGCATCTCCCATTGTCTACGTAAACGGTTTTGATCTTCAATTGAGCAAGGGTGAGATCTGAGTCATGTCAGAAGATTCGTGTCCTTCCTTGTTGAACGGACACCTAACGAGATGTTCTTCTGCAGGCCACAAACTGAGTTCGACCAATGGGCAACGGCAGCTGAGTGGCTTAAGAAGCATCTGGGCACATGACCCTAGACGTTTCCGGATTCGAGGCCCTTCCATCAGAACGCAAGAGAGGCGAAGCTCTGCGCCTTTCGAACGTGCGAAATAGAGATCCAATATGTACCAAAGCGTTGTTGATCAAGGTAGGTGACTGTAAATTAGGACGGAGTTGCCGTATGTTCGATGGCATTACAACGGCTAGAGTTTAGTCGGCTTGACCCAACCGGGTGACGATCATTGATGGCTTCAAGGACCAAATATTTTTCAGATGAAGGGCTTGCCAGTTCAGTTGTTGCTTGAAAAGGAGGTCTCTTTTGAGCACGACGTCATGTTCATTCAGTCCTCCTGCCATGTATGCAGAATTATGCACTGAGTAGCATTGCACTTTTGGATCTTCTCAATAATCGAGTCTTGAGACGACATGCGTACGAAGCTGAGTCACTGTGACGCTGGGCCACGCAAACGTTTGCGTGGCCCGGCGTCACAGTGACTCAGCTTCGCGACATGTATGCATCCGACGCTTGTTGAGCCTCGTGGCCTTCGATCGCCGCGGGCCAAGCGTACATAACTGGCGCCTAAAGGATGGTTTTATGAGTTGCAGATTGTATACCCGTCACGTACTTGATGCATTGAAGTGAAATCTTAATAGTTCACATGTCATGCATTCTAGATAGTTCGGGCCCCAATGCAGGTTGGCACATATGTGATGTATGAGCGTTGATTTACTAAGTTAGGCGGCCGTTAGTATAAAGAATCTACGATGTGATACTGAACTTCGCCTACAGATCGCCGGGGACCAAGGTTGCCGGAAGCGCGGAACGAAGTACCGAGCTGAGCTACCGGGTAGCCGGATAGCTTTTGGACGGGGTATAGTGGTCGGTTTGCATCTCAAAAGTCTACCGGGAGGTCAATCAAACTAATTGTACCGATTGGTAAAATTACGGTAGGTAACTGATGGCGACGAACTCTCTTTCATCCACCGTGCCCTGAGTTGTAAAATCCGACGACAGAGGGACTGCGTGGAAAGGTCGCTCAATTGAGACCTCCCGGTAAGACATCTTCGACGGCCTTGCCAAACGCCCGTAGATTTAGTTCGATAAAGTGCTGTACGTGCTAATCCGTCAAAAGATTCTGCCACACTTGCCCGCGCTCCCGTCACCAAATTCACCGGTTTCGACGACAAACGGCCTTTTATGTAGAAACAGGGCATTATTCTAGGTATGGCGTGTGCTGAGAAGTTCAGTAATGATCGCACAAGGCTGAGTCAGTGCTAGCTGACGAACATGATTGAGCCGTCCGACCGATAGCGATCAAAGAATCCAACGGCTCCGGTAGAATGAAGACCTGCAGACACATCCGCACGTGGAGAGTCCCTTCATACCTAGTTCCTTGGGAGCTCGTCAGAACTGAGAATTCCCAGCAATGCCAGCATTGGGTTCAGCGAATGTTCATGTTCGCATGCCGCGAAGTGCAGCTGCTTGTCCTTCTTTGTGAACAGGACAGAACAGCTGAAAGGGCACACGAGGAAACAGAAACATCTGCGAAGTCAAGATGGACGGGTTCAATGAGGAGATTTTAGTGGAGAAGCTGTCCAAGCTGAACAATTCGCAGACGAGCATTGAGAGTATCCTCAGCCCACAGTTTGCATCTCTGATGGGGTGGTGTGTCATGCTTTATCTACTTTTGCTCTGCAATGATAGTTGGCACTGAGATTGCGTGCTTGATTGCACTTGACTGATGCTCAGCCTCGGCGTATTTTGGTTCATTACGCTGTGGCTGCTCTCCGACCTCGCTCATCAAAATCACCTGTTCTGCAGTGCACTCCTTTGACAGAATTGTGTTGAATTAGGTACAATGCACTCGAGTACGTATGTCATCTTACAGCCTACATTGCAAGTCCTTATGTTCAATGTCCTTGACCCAAGGCCAGCTCTCTCTCACTGGTGCTGCTTCCACCGGGCCAAGCGGTCCAAGCAGGTGGTGCAGATATGGGGTCAGGAGTTCACTCGAGGTAACCATCGCACGTCACCCACGTGTTTCAAAAGGGTCGAAGTCGTTTCTACAATTTTGGATTTGACTGAAAATAGATAGGCTGAAAATGTGAAGCAAAATCCCCCAATCAAAAATCATTTTGATGAGTGCCCATTCTTCCTGGCGGTTGGGGCTCCAGTGGGTGCCAGCCCAGTTGGGGAATGGTGTGTTGATGTCAAACGCTTCAGCATTATTACTAGCAATGCAGCATTACTCTGGAAAAGTTACTTCACCCCAAGTCTGGAATTTGCAGTCCCGCTGCTCAATGAACTACGTCTTCTTTGAAATCCAAATAATGTCAAATGTAATGCAGCTCCCACGGAGCGCAAGGTCACTCTGCTGTACTTGGCAAACGACATCCTCCAGAACAGCCGCAAGAAGGGCCCCGAGTTCGTCAACGAGTTCTGGACCGTGCTGCCCCCACTACTGACGGACAAGAAAAAGTAAGAGCAATGGAACACATCTCTCTTATGGTTGCCTTGCCCCAGAAGCACCACTACGAAAAAGATCTCTGGGCAATCTGACTGTGAACTCCAACGAAGTCTGAATGTATTCCAGTTTGTGGGTTCTGCCTAGTCAGCTTGAGGCCCCTCTTCCTTACTCGGGGCCCCACTCTCTATCCTATATTGTTGATTTGTCTATTCTTTGCAGCAATGGCGACCAGGCTCTACAGCAAGCTGTGGCACGTCTGGTGAGTTTTCTGGTCAAGTCAGGCCAAAGCTGAGAAACAGGACGTCGGCGAGTAAATCAATCATCCCCCGCTTGGATCACTCCTTACTCCCATGAAAAATCCAGGAAAGTTATGTCCTGCACACGACATGATTCAGAGGAGTCACTGCCCGCCCAATCGCCATCTTCGCAATCTCTCTGAGAGTTCAGGTTTGCCAAGACCGGCTTATTTATGCACCTTTTTGATTCCTTGCAGGCCAAGATTTGGGATGAGCGGAAAGTGTTTGGAAGCAAGGGGGCCACCCTCCTCCAGATTGTGAGCCCGCGGGGGGTGTCGGGAGCCGCGCCTGCACTCAGCAGGTCTCCCAGTATCAAGGTGGGCTGAAGGCTTTCTTTTTCAGTCATTTGACAATGACATCTTCCGCTGGCCAGTGTTTGTGCGGGCCATACTGCCATTGTTGGTCAGAAGAGCTGGGCTGCTTCAGAAGACTTCGCTATCTGGATTCCTTTTCTTGCCGAGACTGCTGCGTCGAAAGATGCGCTCACCCGGAAGATTTCTCTGGAGGGGCTTGCCTGCTTGGCTGCTACTGTCGACGACGTTGAAGAACCCAGGTCGTTCACAACTAGATTACAATGGGGGTAGTTGTAATGCCCTGACTTTGGTTTTGATCCGACTGTCTACTGGAGAAAGCGTCGGGGTCATAAATAGCACAGCGAGGCTTTGATTTCAGGTACACGTTCAAGACGTTTGCATGTGGTTTACGACATATACCGGCCAGGAAAACTTTCGTGTCCGAGTCCCTTAAGCCCCCAGGGTCGGTGCAACCGATTGCGCATCCGACACCAGCCTCGAGTCGGCCGTTGGTTGTCGTACAGCTTACACAGCTGTCTCTGCCTCAGCTTCTCTAGCGCTCGATGCTGTGCATCTAGGCAGACACGAAACGCTGCTTCTTACGGGCGTCGTCTCTGCAGAGCATAGCGGGGCCTGCATACGCTGCGCTAATCACGTGCCTGAAGGCGGTGCACGACGCATCCGAGGAGGAGAAGCAGGCCCTTGAAGAGAGCCGCGCAGCCACCCGCATTGCCAGGGACTTGCAACAGCAGGCGGAGGCGGCCGCTGTAGCGGGTAAGATTCAAAGCTCACGATTCGCTTCAGCCAATTGCAGCTTCCTGCGGCCGTATCCTGGTCACAATGTTATGCTTGGTAGCGGGGCGACGATTGGCGTGGGTTCGACCATTGCAAGAGCTGAAGAAGTATTTGTACCTTTCGGCGAGCAAGGTACTGTAAGCCAGCGTTTGAACTTCTTTTAGTGAGCCGGTGGAGTCTGCCTCGTTTTGGGTTAGCGTCTGCATGATGAGCGCCTACGTGCAGAAACGTTCCTAATCACTCGGTCGGGAAGGCGGGGGATATTGCAACGTCGCCTCGAAACACTCTCGAATGCTTGTTAACTCACAAGTCCACTCAGTACTTGTAGGTTCCCCCATTCCTTTACTTGGTTGAACAGACCTGAGATTCTGAAAAGATCCACCTCAGACGCTTGAAAGGAGGCCTCTGTGTTAAGAGCACAGTTTTGAATTGACACCGTAATATCCTGCTGTCCAGGGCGTCCGCCGACGCCGTCTCTCTGGTCGGACCTTCGGACACAGCAGGCCGCCCTGGGCCGCAGCACGGACCGGCTCCGGGCCTTTGAAACGAAGCGCACCAACACGATCACGCTGCTTTCAGAGGCGCTTCGAAAGCAGGTGAACGTCGAAGCGATGGCAGTTCTTTCGTTTGCGTGGTGTCCTGCACTCGTGTCACAACGGTATGAGCGGACAACGATCTGTCGATCTGACGGTTTCTGGTTGCGAACTTGCGAGAGTTCTAACATTAGTTGTCAAGTACTACTCGAGGTTGTAAATGCTGTTCTTTTTCGAGAACGCGTCTGTTGGGTTCTGAGTATGCTGAGCAGACGTGCATTGACAAATGGAGGTCGAAAGCGTGGCGTATCGCACGTTCCTGAGCTTCGGTTGCATTTTCTTCTCACAGGAAACTGAGCGGACCGCTCTTCGGGACGAAGTGAAGGTGAGCAGCCTCACGCGCACACCGACATGTTGCCCCAAAATAATGCTTTGAGACATCTCGTTTGCCTTCCCTGCAATGACTGGATTTCCGGGTGTCTCCAAATAGGCCGCCTTTTTGGATTCCCCTACCGGAACGAGTACGAGCGAAGCCAATTGAGAGCTTCGGACGTCCTGGTATGTTAAACCGGTTGTTCCTGCTTGCCATGCACGATTGAAGTTTCCTGATGATCCAGTAAAAGAAACATTCGCCGTCTGCCCCTCCTCATCCCTGCCGTTGGTGAGCTTCTGTGGTGCCTTCCGTGACTGTGCCCATCTGCTCCACTTCCCAGGCTGCCGCCGCATGTACCCAGCAAGCGGAGCAACTACGAAGCCGGCTTGAGGCTGGCAGCGCCGCGGCGCCGAACCCAAGCGCCCGGGAGGACCCCCCGGGCACTCACGAGCCACAGATGTACTCCCCTACCCAAGCTGGAATGACCGGGAATTTCCCCCCCGGTTACACAGCGACCCCTCCAGCCCAGTACGCGCCTCCCCCGCCTGAGCCTTACCAGTCAGAGCCTCTACCGTACCAGTCTTTCCACGCCCCGGGTGTAAGCGAAGCTCCCCCGGGGGGGCAAGACGTGTCGGCCGCAGACTTCGCGGCGAGCCTCGCGGCGATCGAGAACCCCGCGGACTTGCTGCAAGCGTTCTCGTCGCTGAGTCAGGAGGGGCTGGCAACGCTGGGTAATTTCGCGGCGTTTCAGGAAGGTGTTAAGAGGCAGAGGGTCGAGGGGCCGCCGCAGCCAGGGCACTATGCTCCGCCTGGAGCCCAGGTTGCGAACGAACTAGGGGCGGGGCATTTGCAGGGACCTCCTCCGGTCTGGCACCAGTCGCAGGAGGTACATAACTACGGTATGCCGCAGTACCAACAGCATCAATAGGATGTGGGCGTAAGCAAGGGTTTCAACATCTGAGGTGAAGCATTGGAAGAGGACTGATGTTCAAACACAATCGCAAGCTTTGTAATACTTCGCTGTTTACATCTAAGGTTTTTAGTTCATCCGCTTAAAACTCCTTTCAACCCATGATGGTCTTGGCAAAGGGCATGCTTTGCATCATAAGACCCGCCTTGCCACCGCCTTGCCTGAGTGAGAGCGCCAGTAGCGATAGGAGGCCGTTACCGACTAGACACATCAGAAGCTCTGACAGATGGTATTGCCACAACGACCTTCTGCATCCTCAAACTGGGAACAAGAGTATTTGACATGTTGACCTGGCCGCCAAGTCTACGCATTGCAACATTTCACCTTTTAGTTATATCGACGGAAGGATTGCAATAGGACACCATGCATCATCGCAATGATACTCAGGACGGCCAGACAATTATCCGGCTGCAAACTAAGGCCTGTAATGGATCGAGTCCGCGAGCTCAGTAGACCGTCTCGAATCGAAGTTGAGTTTGACTCTAGGTATGTCACGATGCACTGGCATAACCAGGTACCTGCTTTGAATGCTAAAGCGGCCTGCCACTGCATGACCAGCGGTAATGGGCCTTGCGCGGTAATGGCAAGCACCGTCATTCTGGAGGGACCCCTCTGTCGATCGTCCCGACACGTGTCACGCATGTGTCTTGAGCATGGTGCCACATCATGAGCGGCAGTTGCAGATCAGCTGCACGCATGCTTCGATCAACTTTTGGAAGTCAGAAGAATCTTGTGCAGGCGCTTGCGACCACAAGAAACGCGGCATGAGGTCATGTACAGCCTCAGGATGTCTTTGATTCGAGCAAGCCGCAAAGCTTCTTTCCGAGTCCTTCTTGTTCTCAAGAGTGCACTAGACTTCACAAAAGGTTTTGTAGGAGCTAGCCGCTCAGGAAAGATAGCTCACCTAGCTAGCCTGTGGTTGGCGCTCAGCTTGTCAGGGCTGGCCCGATTGATGCAGCCAGTCGTAAGGTGTTCTTTTGGGGGGTTTGGTTCATATCAATGAGCGGCGCCACCGTCAGACCGCTGCCACTTCTGGAAGATTCTCGATTTTTTCTTTTGAAGTATCAGGCAAGCATCGGGTTTCAAGAAGCAATAAGTGCAAGAGTAACAGTACACCGTCTGCTTACAACATCAAAAAAGTTAGGGTTAGCTGCCACCCGCTGGCCCCTACTATTACTAACAATCCTTTACAGACCACGTTTCGGCACAACAGTTGACAGCGCAATATAAATTGGACAACAAAGTACGTCCAGCTTCTGTTGGGCTCCACTGACACGGCTCCAACTGGGCGGCATGAAGCCAATCGAGGTGGGGCCTGCAACCAACGGGCAGGACCCGGACTCTACCACCCCCCTCTCTCCACAGGTGCAGGAACTCGTGAACGTCCTTCCCAGGGTGCTCATCGTGTCTCGGCGGCACGTCAGAAAAAACAAGTTTGTGGACTTTGTGGGAGAATACCACCTCGACCTCATAGTGCGCTATGGCGCGGTTCCAGTCATCGTGCCACGCGTCAAGGGAGTGCACAACCTGATAGACAGCTTTGAGCCTATCCATGGTGAGCGGAAACCTCTGTACTTGGTCCTCCACTTTTGCTTGCGGTAGATACCTTGCGTAGCCAGAAACCTCTGGTGACAAGCGTTCACCATAATGGGGTTTGGAGCAGAACCTGAGCTGGTCTTGCTTCACTGAGAAGAGTGTGGAGTACCAATGGAAGGTTCATTTAAGTCATTGGCGTGTCGCGCTCTTTAGGGCAACAAATCGTAGTCTGGAGCGATGTCGAAGCGCCACCTTTTCTCCATCATAAACCCTCACATTCGTCACTAGTAACGTCTGAATCCAAAGGGCCTTGGATTGAAGGGTCAAAAGAGCACTTTTGCAAAGCTTTGCCTGTTTCTCATAATCGTTTTCTGCGATTCCATTCCTTCTTACTCTAGAGTGCGACCACCAATCAGGTTGGCTGAAACAGCTGGCACCATTTTGTAAAGCGCTAAAAACGCGCCTATTGCCAAAACTCCAATTTCCAACCCTGTGGGCTAGTGGCAAGTGGTCAAGATGCTTCCTGGAGATCATGGTCGTTATGTAAAGACATTCGGCCTGTTCTCATGCACGGACTTTGATATGACCCCTCGAAGAGCTGTACTTGTCAGGCACAGACAAAGTTCAGCAAACCCCTCCTGCCGCCTCTTCTTGGGCGTGGTACATTTTGATGGCAAGGTTGTATTTCTAGCTTGATTTGAAGCTCGTTCGTCCTTTTTGGAAAGCGTTGTCTAGGCTGATTGTAGGACGTCCTTCCCTCTGAACCCGGCAGTGACCAAAGTGCACTTACCAAAGAGTGCACCTCTGAAATTCTTCGACTAACGATCAATGCTGTGCGCTGTCTTCAAAGGCGTGCTTCTGTGTGAGGGCGAGGACATTGACCCGAGCCTGTACGAGCACGACGAGAGCGAGCTGAGCCCGCAGGAACTAGAGGAGATCCGCGCCGCGCACTCGAGCGACACCACCATCGACAAGGACAAGGACAGCGTAGAGTTGCAGTTGGCCAAGCGCTGCCTCGAGCGCAACATCCCCTACCTGGGAATTTGTCGGGGCAGCCAGGTGCTCAATGTGGCCTGCGGAGGAAGCCTCTACCAGGTGAGGGGGGCTGTTTGGTTGTCGATGCTGCGATAACTTCGAATGGAAGGGGTGTGAAGGGGTACTGAAACTGATTCTGATGTGACCGTTTTATCAGCGTTCACCAGTGAACAACAGAGTCCAGTAGCTTGTGCTCGTGTGAGGACCCACGTCGACAGTTTTTGCTTAGGCTACTGATTCAGACCCTGACTTGACGTCTTTGTGCATAATGAAAGGGCGGGAGGCAGCAATTTGTATTGCGGCTTCCCTTTGTGCATGAAACGAGACGCAGACTCTGTACTTCATACCCCTTGTCGGCAGGACGTTGAGAAGGAGCTGCGCAAGAAGTCTGGCGTGGCTGTCCAGCACATGAACTACGAGAACTACGACGGCCACCGGCACCCCATCAAGGTGGTGCCCGGCACGCCGCTGCACCAGTGGTTCCGGGGGAGGGAGGACCTCAACGTCAACAGCTACCACCACCAGGTCAGGCCCAGGTTCTCACAACCCCAGCTGGTTGCGGATTCTTTTACGATTGAAGTCGACTCCGGATGTGGAGGAGGAGATGATGACTACAGGACAAGCTGTTACTACTATTTGAGGATCCTTTGTTTTTGAAGACGAAGCTTTGAACCCTTCGCACTTGGTGAAGGAAAACGTTGCTCTTGGTCGGCCGCTCCATAAAGTCGATGACCAGACACGCGTGCTGGCTCCTTGGCACCTTTTCTCGAAGCTGGGACGTGCCACCCTGATTGTGTAGGAGAGGTGGCCTCGCCGGCTACTTGACATTTACGATTGCCAAGCTCAGGTGGAGCACGTCTTGGATCAACAGGGCGCGAGTAACTTTACACCATTTCTATCTTCGATCGTCAGTCAGCTAGAAAGGACGCAGCCAGCGCTTTCTGACTTAGAAGGTTGTCGGAGCAGGCGTTGGTATTCTCGACATTGCGCGACTTTCGACTGCCCCTCTTCGGACGTTCAAATAGCTGCTTAGAGTGGGCGTCCACTTGTGAATGACGTCACCCGTCGCTGCAGACAGCGTCGACTTCTCGACAAACAGGATTTTAGGCAGGAAGGGAGATCGCGAACATTTTCCGGAACAAACGAGAGGGCAGACACGCTCTTTGATTCTTGCCTCCCTGTCAATCCTCACTGTCTTTTCCTTGCCGTCCATCCAGGGCACCAAACGCCTGGCGCAGCGTTTCAAGCCCATGGCTCACGCCCCCGACGGCCTGATCGAAGCCTTCTACGACCCCGCGGTTTACAACCCGGAGCAGGGCCAGTTCATCGTGGGGCTGCAGTTCCACCCGGAGCGAATGCGCCGCGAGTGTCACACGGGGGAGGAGGCCACCACAGAAGCGCTGGAGGGCAGCCGCCACGACCTCGAGTTTGATTACCCCGAGTGCCCGCGGGCCTACCAGGTGGGTTAATGCGCTAACCTTCTGGTTTGGGGTGGGGTTTGGTGATGGACGTTGAGGAGTTTGGTTGACGCATAATGGTCAGATAATAGGAAATTGGCCCGGCTGCCTGCAGTGGAAATTTATGGGAGTCTGCCCGGTGGACTTGCGAAAAATCTTGACTTTGGCCGAGTGATGTGCACTTGGATGTACACTTGGGGGAGACGTAGGGAAACACCACTGCACACGAAGTCAGGGACAGCCCGTGATATCAGGCCCGCAGGGAATACGAGAATAAATTCATGCAAGTCTGCCCTGCAAGGCACCTGGAAACGGGCCGGCGGCAGAACGTCACGTATTTTATCAGCCGCCTGGGCTGAGCTCGAGAGAGCGAGCCCTAAACTGTATCTCTGTCAAACGCTTGATTGGCAATGTTTGCTCACGGATATTCAGGCTTGCGGAGCAACTTCTGCCCAGTTGCGACTTCGTTCGCATTGAAGCGCTTTCCTAGAGGCAAGTTTGCAAGGAGCTGCTGAGACGTCTCAACAGCGACGGTCCGATAGACGCTGCTTCGCCCATTCACCAACGCTCTCTCTTCCCCGTTCTTCACAGGAGTTCGCGAAGGCCGTGATCGCGTTCCAACGGCGCGCCCTGACGGGCCGCGCGAGCACCAGCGGCAAGGTCTCGCTCCTGGAGCCCGAACTCGAGAAGCAGCGGATGAGTCTGGTCCACGCGTTTGCGCTCGCAAAGGATATCTACGAGGAGGTGCACTACGGCAAGCCGGGGAGCAGCGTGCACGGCGCGAGTGCGGGGGTGCGCGAGCTGCAGCGCGCGCTGGCCAAGACCAAGAGCCAGGAGCAGCTGGCCATCGGGGCGGAATTCCTGCAGCAGAATCTTGCGCTCAACAACCACCAGGCGAGCGACCGCGCTTGCTCTCTATTTCGTAGTTCCCTTTCGACAAGATTCGGGACGTCTCAT